TTCAGTTTCATTTTATGAAAAACACTGATGGTAAATTATTCACTGCAGAAAATTCTACCTATGCATGAGTGCATCGATATTATTCATTTAAAAATCTATACATAATATTACATGTAATCACACCAGGCTATTTTTTTACTTCTGCTTTAGGTGAGGAACTTGGAGTATTTCCAATTAACAATTCTTCTTCTACCACAAGGATTTCTTAAATCATACATATGAATGATATAGCTGCTTTAGGTCAGCACTCAAATAGTTTCCTCTGTTGAAAGTGAGGAATTGTGGAAGATAACAGTGCACTCGAACACCCGCCTCCTCTCTTGTGAATTCCCCTCCTTAATTAGAAGGCAGCAGTTAATTGATTGTTTTGGCTTCCCGTCGAGAGAGAATAAAGTTTACTGTTAAGCAGAGTTCACCCGAGCCATGCTACTTTAGCAATAAAGCGAGTTCAACCCGTCTGAACCGCCCTCAGCCCTCCCCCACCTCCCCCCTTTCCCTCCCCAACCTCAAACCACACCCGGGGTTAAAATCCATATAACAGCAGAAATTGCAGGGCAAATGCCTTTGAGCCACGCTGATTAAAAGACCCAACAACCCTATTTCAAAGAGAACGTAAACAATGTTATGAGCACGCTGCCTGCAGTGACTCACCCCAAACTGTTATTACATCTACCTCATCAAACCACACCGCGTTTCATCTTCCTGCGGTTTTCAGCGATAAGATAAGCCCTGAGATTGCTGAGGTAGGCTAAGTGGCCTTAAAAGCATCCCTAAGCGGTTAATAAGTATGTACTAATGACCCCAAACACATCTTATCAACATGAAGAAGTCTGATAAAGCTGTAGCATATCCAAAGGGTGAAGTTGTGTTGTGATTCACAGGCTCATAAGTCTGCAGCTGTCGGAAAAAAATGAGAGCAGGTATTTCGGGACAGTTGCATGCAGGTATTGAGCCAGCTGTTTAACAAAACACATCCGTCTTCTTATCTCCAGTCTTAACCATGCACAACTTCATCTTTCATCAGGAATCCGCACTTTCTGAAAACATTAATCTCTATTGTACGAGGGTTTTCTGTCTAACTTGCTTTTTTCTCACGTACTGTCTTCAGCTCTGAAACAGCCTGACAGGACAGGGAGGCAGCAGAGGAGGATTACGATGGCTCCAGATGCCCCTTTCCACAGATAAAGTGTGTCGGCTGTGACTCTGATAAGCAGAGTGGCACCAGTTCCGTCCTGTTTTCCTCTGTCTGGATCCTTCCTGTTGCATCTCTGTTTATTCAAACTGATTGAATATAAACTATGTAAGCTTTGTCATGTCATCCTGATTATTTTTACATTTAGGCTTATGCTTATATGCTTTCTTGCCAATCCTGTTTCTTAGAAATTTCTTAATCCATATTTTATCAAAATGTTAATTTGTATATATTTTTTTATTGTAATGAATCATTTCTATTTGCAGCACAAAAGTTGGTTGGGGTGCACTTTGACCTGCAATGCTAATTATATTCTCATAGTGACGGCTGGTGATCAAATTTAGTAAATTCAGCAGCACACATTATGTCAATCCTGTAGCCTTCATCGTGCTTGAGAGCAAAGCGAAGCCTGCTTAAAATGTAGCCTCATTGTGTTTAAATGTCTGTGGCCGTTTGCATTTTTCAGAAAGATGTTTTAGGTCTCGCACCCCCATTGTTGTCCACAGTACCCCCGTGCAAACAGGGGAAGCAATAAAATGCAATATGTACACCACATCCAGTTAGCCAACTCTGTTTCTCATAACAAGAGATGCTTCGGGTATAAGCTCATCCTCATCACTGGCTGCTGACTCTGTCGTGTCGGTCTGGACCAAGCCACTTTATCCTCTTTTTTTCTTGTTGGAGTGTTTTTGTAAAGAAATGATCAGATTTGTCACAGTTCCACTTGAAGCCACCATATCTTTGCCGGTCACCTCGCAGCAGAAGTAGGAGAGTGTTGAGGTTCGACCGATCTCATTATCGATTAAAAGAATGTATGTCAATACTTATTGGCTGTAAATAAAAGTGAGAGCTATGTCCTGTGGAAAATCAGCAAACAACCAGTTAAAGAGCAGCCTCTGGTCCTGTGGTTGCCAAACTTTAGGGACCCTATTCACTTTCATTTGGCCGGTGCCCTACACCAGAAAGTACATGTATTTAGAGAATACAACAACTTATATTAAATGCTCACAGGTGATTACGGTCTACAGGAGCATTGTAGGAGTCGACTATTATCCAATTAAATTATGTTTAGCTTTTTTTATTCAGGCTCTTTTTGTCTCAGGATGTTGGAGGGGCCTCGTATTAACCAGATATCACCTTGTTCTAATCAGTCGCAGCACTTTGTCTCAAGGGCTAATCAGCAAATATTAGCATGCAACACTGTAAACCGTAAATATTATATCGGCCATGTAACATTTTGCAACTTGTTATGTTAACTAGAAACATTTCCTACAATCCAAAAATGTCAAACTATCCCTTTAAGTTAAAGTTTGTTGCTTTTAAAAGTCTGGAGTTCTTCCAAAAACAGTCAAAAGCATCTAGTCAAGGTCAGTCACGTATTTGTTGCACCCCAGTGTATGATTAATTACAGCAGTTTTCTGAATGTCCTTATGTGATGGAAAATCACTTCAGGTGATGTTCAAGCAGTAAATTGGCTTCTGGCCGCAGAGGAACCCAATCAGCACGGGATATCGGCCAGTTTTAAGGACGGGGTCAGCGAGATTACCCAGGAAAGAGGCTGAAGTAATGACACAAGTGACAGACAAAGGCACGGGNGGGGGGAGAAAGAAAAGAGGTGCCATTGTTATATGTGCAGACCTCCTCAGACTTAATTACCTCTCATTCATTTTCATTTAGCCTTGTTATGATAACGCAAGGGGAAGGGGGCCTGCTGTGGAGGATAAAGAGGACTAATGAAGGTGTGTTACTCATGCAACATAAATCTGAGCCAAAGCAGACAAAAAACAGCAAGAACTCCACCAGTTTGCAGTATCTCTGCAGTCAAGCGACTCGCTGGAGGTTCAGGAAACCTCTGATAAGAGGAGGGGGAGGATTGAAAATCTCGGGTGATCTGTGTCCAGCAGTCCAATAGATGATGTTTTTTTTCCCAGGATGTTATCTCCCGAGTCGCCTTGTGGTCCAAAAAAACAGGGTCAGATGTAGGGCGTTTACAAGGAGAGGAAACTTTCTTGAGGCACACATTAAAACAACACCTTTAAAATATTACCATTATGTGTCCATAAACACGTTCTCAGTACAGAAGTGTGACATTTAAAAAGAAGAGCTGTCGTTCAGCTCGTGTACGGCAAGTGTGCTCCAGTGATAATAGGAAGTGGTTTTTGAAACATGACAGGAAATTTATTCTCTGAAATATGAACTTAGAAAAGTTATCTTTTCCATATGAAGATTTAAGCTTTAAATTCCATCTCAAGATGTCTGAGAGCGACACACTGGCCCCTGACACAGTCCCCTCGCCTGAGGCCAGCTGCTGGCCTGAATGCTGATGTAACTCAGAGGTCAGAGCGAGCATGAGCCTGTGGACGGCTCTGTCATTTAGAAAACATCCCAGACGTGATTGCAGTATCAGTGTGTGTGTGTGTCTGGAATAGTTTAAAGCAGCTCCACCCTATATGTTCATGTGTGGTTGGGAGAACTCACCAGGCTTCTTCATTTTTCTTTGTAAGGAACGGAAGGACACGTGCAACTAATACGCAGTTAATTTTATTAGGAAACATCTATATGTGTGTGTGCATGACTGAGTTGCAGCTAAAGCCCGATGCGTTGCCAGGTGACGATGACATGTAGGTGCACTGTTTTTATCACACTCGGCCGCACATAGACTTCCGAGACGAGACTCTTTAGTCTGTTGAGCCAAGCTCTGCATAAGTTAAGAGGACCCAAAGGATTTGCAGTGTTGAAGGGTTGAGCCATCAGCGGTATGCTCTGGAAGGGGGATGCGGGGGTGGAGGATAAGACCTACTTCCTGGCGGACAGGAAATTCAACTTCCTGCCTTGATTAATGTGTAGGGGGCCGGTGGATCACAAAGGGCCGCTGTGGGGGCCCCCTGCGCACAGAGCTCCCACATTTCCCCTTCAGTGTCAAACTTTTTTCTCCTTTCCTGTTTCTCAGACATGCTTGAGAAAGATCTACTTGTGACTGAATTATCTTGAAATAGCACAGATAAGATTATTTCAACATCTCAGCACACAATGTGGGCAGTCAGACAAATGCTTGTTTATTTCCCAAGCCCTCCCCCGCCAAGTGGATGGGTGTATTTTGTTTGTGAGTGCATGAGGGTCAGGATCCAGAAAAACTGGTGTTTCTCAACTTTGTGTCAACGGTCAGGAGTTGTGTCAGGGCAAAGAATGTAAACAGCGAACAGAGCTGGAGGAACGCAGCGAGTGTCAGTGTGCTCGGCAGTCGCTCACTAATGGGATGTTAGAACTGTTGCAAACCAGGACACGGCAAAAGCAGGAGGGGGGGGCTCCACCACTGCTTCGCAATGCATTTCACTGATGAAAAGTGTGAGAGGGGAGGCGTAGGAGGTGAGAGGGGAGGCAGGCCATGGGGGGAGGGAGGAGGAGAATAGCGAGAGGTGCTTTTTAAGATTTCATGTTCTCCTCCAGCCCCCACACTTTGCAGATAAAGGTTGCCGTTGCCAAGGTGACTTGAGAGAGAAAGGGAAAGTATCTGGCTGTGTGTTGCCTGTTCTGGTGCAGGAGGCTTCGGAGCCAGAGGCATAGATAAGATGATTTCAGTCCCTCCTCCACAGAACAAAAGCTGTACGCATGATATACTGCCTGAAATACCTCAGGACACTGCTGTATTCACTCCAAAGCTGCCTAAATATGTGAAACATGCAGTAATGAGAACGCTCCCTTCGCTGGGCTGAAGCTGCTTTTTCCTGCCAAATCTGCACGATCACATTAAGGTAGACAGACAAATTATCTCCAAATCTGAGACAAAGAGGCAGAGAGCTATACAGTCAAGAGGAAAAAACTCTTATGTTTATTAGCCATGAATTTCACATTGTGAAAAAAATCACATGTACAAAATAATGTCATAAAAATAGAAAATAAACTCTTACATGACAAAAGAAAAGGAAACTGATGCACGCTGACAGGGTCTCTGTCTAATTTACATCATGGTGTGAAGGAGGATACTGTGCTCCAATCTGAGCCGGTTGGATTTCCAGATAAAACAGAGAATAAGAGGAGGGCAAGAGTAGAAATGGGAAATGCCACTCAGCAATTAGGACCGAATTGAAGGGGCATTCATTACTCGCTGTTGTCAGGGTAACTTGTGCTCTATGGGAAAGAAATCTGATTGGTGGGGGCCAGAGGCTCTGTGTTCAATGGCTGGAGGAGGTGAACATTACGGAGCCATGAGGGTCTCCGTGGAAGTCCAGAAACCGCAGATAAAAGGATGAACTTTTGGGGGGCTTAAAAAGTGGAGCAGGAATTTACAGGGCTGTTTCCCAGATGATCACCACAGATTTGAATGTATTCATGAATCCACGACAAGGGACGTGAGGAGAAGAAATACACATTGCACTGAAACACTACCTCTTACATTGAAATTCAATGAGTCCATTTATATCCAATTGTAAAATGTCAATGTTCAGGTCACATAAACAGACACACAGACAAAAACACTGATTAGAGTTACCAAGCATTTCATATGCACGTGTTTCAGGACATTCTCACTTTCTGTTCTTTAAGAACTTGCAGTGTTTTTCTTTTTCTTTTTAATGTGCATCATTAACACGATGATGAAAAGCACTGCGGTGTCTGCCCTTATCGGTGCACAGTTTACTGGATTCAACTCTCTCTCCACTTAATGCTGAAGAATACTGTGGCTTTGCACCCCAAAGAGCCAAGTTAGCACATGTGACAGTTCTCCAGCTGTCTCAAAGGACAGCTGCACAGACCATCACATTCTTAACCAAGTCAGGATTCCTCTCTGATGTCCCTCATAGTCACTGGATCACACACTGCACCGGCCCATCTGTCTTATCTGTTTTATGGTTCATATCTTCTTGTCTGTTTTGGTACAATTTGAGCCCCAATGGGCAAATTAGGTTTGGACCCAGGTTAGAGCTTAAATAGAGTCTATGTAAAGTAAAATGATTAATTCTTTCAACCCAATTGAGTCTTCTTATTCAAGCAGAAGCTTAAACTGCTTTACGTCATCAGTAATCAGAGTCATTCTTCCTCTCCCATCGATGCTCTGATGAGTTGAACCTCTGTCTCTTTCAAAAGAACAAGTTTCTCCTGCAAAAGACTGAACTGTGCAAAATGCAGCCCAACTGAGGTCAAATAAAACACAACACCTGGCCATGCACGACATAAACCGAACATAGTTTCACATATGAATGCAGGCAGAGAGGAAATAAATAGGATTAAACATATGAACATAACAGAGTAAACATCGTCATATAAATTAAGACTACATTGCAGCAAGTTTGAAAAAAGAAACCGATTAAATTCTCAGTTTAGATTAAGGTGACAAGATTTCTGTGACCATAGAGAAGAGTTCATGCCAGTTGCACTGAGTCACTATGAGTGGACATGCTCTAAAAAGGCTTTATCTATGACTCAGCAAGCAAGCCACTGCTTTTATCTGAAGAAGCACAGCCGCTCTTTTACAGCATTAAGTGTACAGCTGAATACGACACTGAATACCGCCCCTGTGTACAGTGGGTCTGTTAACCGGCACTCAGCAGGCGTTAGTGTGCAGCTGCAAACATTTCAGGTCATGACCCTCAAGGCACATTGACCCCCACCCACCCCCGCCCTCATGGCCACGCAAAGATCCCCTGCATCCTCCTCAACTGGTGTTGGGCATCAACACCTCGTGGCTTGCAGTGACAGCAAAGTGCCACGGCCTTCATGAGAGGAACACTCAGAGGTTTGTTTCTGTGTGTGAGCTGTTAGAAGCACGCCTTTGAAAAAAGAAAGAAATACATACAAAGGGTCAAACAAAAGAGCTTATCAGAAGACAGAAGGGGAAGGTTTGCTCCTTCATTGTGCATTTTATAAATCAGCTGTATTCAGTCAAACCAAGTTGCTTTCTGTTCCGCACACCAATCACTGCGTTCTCCTTCCCTCCATCTAAACGGAACATTCATCATGCTATGAGTGTTTTTTCTTTTTTCTTTTTATCATACAAAGCATCACAAGCCTGCCGTGTCTAAATGGGAAAAATGCAGGTTGTGGCATATTCTTGCAGTCCTCATATGGCAGCATGAAAGCCTGATATGCTGGATGTGGACAAGGGTGTGCCTCAAATTACAAGCAGCGGTTTGTTTGGTTTGTTTGCGTGAATGACTGTCACTGTATGTCTCATCTTCCTTCTCTGCAACAGGAGGTGACATCATTCTGGCGAAGTGTCCAGCTTCTGCATCTTCGCAACGTTAATATGAATGTGGGTGTCTGTACATCACTGCTCAATGTCTCTTTCAGAGGAAGAGATCGTGTGCTTCTTCACAGTTGGAGTCCAGAAGATGATGCAAAACTTGGAAAACTGAGGGAGAGAAAAAATGAATGGTTAAACAGGCTAATATATATAATTTTTTAATTATTCCAAGAACAAAAAACAGGCATAAAGCTCCTGGGTTATCTCACAACATTATTGAACACCGAGGTTGGATAAAATCAAATCAAAACCTGGACAGTGAAATACAATCCGAAGCAATAGCTTCCTGTGTGATACTGTGTTGGACTGCATTTTATTCACTTCCTGTACGGTATAATCCAACACACACTACTATAACACTCAACAATCACTTTTGAAATGAAAGAATTTAAACCCTGATTAAGTCTAAACAAGGTTTTAACTCCCATCAATGTCATTATTATTTTCAACTATTTCTGTTACTATTACATTTTGTATCTCGAATAGATCTGGTGAAGCGCTCAACTCAGTACAGTCTGTTCTCGACAACGAAGGTGAAGGTGATAAACATATTCCTTAAAATACCAAGGCATTACCTTAACAATGTGCACGTTTCCTACACCATTCATTCATTTTAACGGGCATTTAAACTGCAATGAAGCTGATCAGGTTACTTCAGCTCAGCGTGTGTAGAGCCTGACTCGTTTGTGGTGGCGCTGCATTCTTTCACTTGGTTCTTATCCCTGGACTATTTGGCAAATGTCAGGCCATATATCAGTGTGGTGTTATGAGGCAAGATGCAGTAAGCTTTAAATTCAAATTGTTAGGTTGTAAAAGAGATTAGAAGTGACCTTTTCTTGGCCTTAAAACTGCATTTGAGTTCAATTCATTATACTGTTCTGTCTAAGTGAAGTGGCAAGATTCAAGTTTATGGCTTTTTTGATGTGTTTTAATTGTCAGCACCAATTGCCCCGACTCAAAGCTTCCAAGCTGACAAAAAAGGACGTTTAGACAAGTTCTGAATTGTTCCCCTGGGAGAGATTGAGAAGTTTTTTTCTCTCTCACAGTTAGTCTCCTTCTGTGAGGTCTAACATACTTCCTTTCCCCTTTCATTCCTAAACAGTCAGCCTTCTTTTCCATTCCTCCACATTTTGTCTTTTCAGTGTGTTCACTGAGTAGACAGTCAGTTGCCACGACAGGCAGACGCACCAAAAACAAATTCTGTATTAAATTAGTGGCAGGATTATATCCTTCACTGAACACTGTGTTGCTCTGGCTTAGAGATAGTTCGAACCCTCAGTGTAGTCTCTCCTTTTCAGAGATGAGCCGGTGACAAGAAAGGAAATAATAAGTCTTTAAAAATATTTCATGGACAGCCGGGGAGTCACTCTGGAGCTGAGGGCTGCCAACCGTTTTAACAAATACAGCAGAATGAACAGGGACTGCCTGCGTGGTTATGTTTGAGGGCATGGGATTAGGGTGTAAGGTTTACGTGATGTGATGTGATCAGGACTCCGCAGCCCGCAGCATGTAGGAAGATCAGGTTTGCCAGCTGACTACACATGTTCTACATACGCCTGGACTGTTTATCATCAGAGCAGGGGAGTGGGGTTAGAATGAGGCCACGAAGACAAAGATGGAGCCGGAAGAGACTGCTGACTTTAACAGTAAATCTCAAGTGAGGCCATGACTATCAAGGATGATGTGTGTCTGACTGGGCTTTGGAGGTTGAGGGGGGGGGCTCCTCATTTCCTCTTCTGCCACTTCTCTCAGTCACCTCCACTTGCAACTGATGATGAATGCTTCCCGACACTGCGTGAGTCGCCGGCTGCTTCCCTCTCACCCAACGTAAAGACCAAAACCTCAACAATGGAAGGCGACTGACATTAGATTAGCCTCGCCAGGGTGTTGTAGCCTGCTGGTGTGTGGCTTGTCTAATTGGCAGACCCCCTTTTGCCTCTTAGAGCGATTTCCCCCACAGGAGCAATAAAAGTATCCCATTCTCTTTCAATTACCTCCTCTGTCCTTCAGCCCATCCCCATAGCGACATAACTCACTTAACTAACACACACAAGCCCCTATCAATCCCCCACCGGTCCACCCTCCCTCTGCTACATTTTCCTCCTCTCTCCTACTGAGAAGATGCTACCTGGCTGCAGGAACCGAAAATTGGATATCAATGCTTTGATTCCAAGCATCAGCATGTAAAATATGTTGGCGGATGTGCAAATATAAATTGCAGTACAGGAATATTTTATCCACCATTATTTTTCTCAATCTAACTTTATTTTTGTCGTATTTGATGTCATTTGTAGGTAATATCTATAAAGATTTACTCTTGTGTGAAGGCTACACACAGCTCAAATTGAGCACTTGAAATTAAAATGTATTGATCAGCTTTAAAATGTGCTGCTTTGATGTGTACTTCTGTGATTCTGATGTTCGTCTGAAGTGATAGTGTGAAAAGGGATATCAGCCAGAATATAATTATCTCTACACCCTGAAATACTAAGTAGATATTTACTATTTTAGTATCTGCCTACTTAGTGGTGCAAAAAACTAAAATCAATGTTGTACAGATTGTTAAAATTCAATTTAAAAAAATGCAATTTGATGTAGCACAACCAACATTATGATCTCTACTGTTCAATACATTTTCCTCAATGTCAAACCTGGCATTTATATTACCCACATTTAGTTGTAGCCTCAAGTTAGTAGCATCATTATAAGATTATCTCGCTTCACTGTAGCGCTACATACCCAGATTTTTTTCATTTCAAGCATGAAAGCTAAGGGCTTATAATTCTTTTCACATGCAGTAGTACACCCTAAAAGATATGACCAGGCTTTCATGTGCAAAACTGGTGGATTTCCCCCTTTCTGGCAGACGAAGAGACATGAGAGGTCAAACATACCTTATGAAAACGGTGCAGGTAGAGTTTGGGTCTCAAGCAGGCAGATGTTTCCAGGTGCTGACGAAAGCAGTGGGGATGAGCGAGTACGGCACAGTAGTGATGCTGTTCCAAGCATCCAGTGTGGGGTCATAGCAGTCCAGAGTTTTACACCGCTGTGTGCCAAAGTACCCACCCACCACATACAGTTTGTTCCCCGATGCTACAGCCTGGCAGCTCATCCGCTTGGCTGTTACATCGCCCACTTTAGTCCACTGGTAGGTGTCGCTGCTGAATTTATAAGCCGAGCACGCTGAAAACTCTGTATCCCCACCCATGACGAAGATCTGGTTTCCCAGCACGGCAGCAGCTGTGTAGCGCCATGGTTGCGGGCAAGATGCGGGCACTGTCCATCGATTCTCCTGCGGATCGTAGCACTGCACCTTGGGCAGCTTGTCATGGGTGACGCTGGTTCCTCCGAAGGCAAACAGCTTGAGTTTGACGCTGACTACTGCTGCATTGCTCACGCCTTCTCTCAAAGGAGCCACCATGGTCCACTTGTTCGCCACTGGGTCGAATTGCTCCACCTGTTTGAGTGACACGGATGGAGAAGCCGGGAGGCAGCCGGTTGCTGCAGTGTGGCCTCCTACTACATAGAGACAATGTTTTAACTCTGCAGAACCATGGCCAAACCTAGCGATGAGCATCGGAGCTGCTTTGGACCATTCCTCATGGACAGTGTCGTAGACCCATACATCTTTAGACACACCATTCTCTGAGCCTCTCCCACCAGTGATGTACACCTTACAGCCGATGGCACAGGCACTGAACTCCTTCCTGGGGCTGGGGATGTCCGCTTTGGGGATGATCTCTTTGGCCTTCTGGTCTACCAGGTACAACTTGTCACACATGAAAGTCTGCCCTCCAAGTAGAAAGAGAGCATGGCTGGTTTTCCTTGGTCGAGCACACGGGCTGTTTACAACACCGTCATTCTGCAGGATTTTCAGCTTACAGCGGATAGCTTCATCCACCAGTTCCTTGCTCTTGGCCTGGGCATTGATCAACTCTTCTGTAGAGACATTCTCCATCAGAAAGATGGCAGGCAGCAGGGCGAGGCGGACCGTTCTCAGAAGCTCTGGTAGGTGGCAGTGCCTCTTTTCCACATCGTAGTTGATCCAGTTAAGAGCAGCTTCATAAACCAGTCTCTCATCTTCTGTCTCTAGCTCCTCGTGTGACAAAAGTTGCACCACCATATCTTTGGGCAATTGGAGGAAGTCCTCTGTCTTGCAAATAGCTGGGAAGTTGCTGAGGCACATGCCCCAGGAGAGCTCTGACAGCTTGATACACTGGTGGGCATCAGAGAGTAACAGCATGCCAAGACAGTTAGTCGGATGAAGGGTTCTCTCTAGGAATTCAGCACAGGCATCTCGGATGTCCTGAAACTCCAACATGTCCCCTGCTTCCAGTAGTGACTCTGCGTTCTCCTCGTTGATGACTACACGTGAAGAGTACGCATAATCCAGCAGGAGTTCTAAAACCTCTGGGTGGATGGAGTCATGGAAGTTGACTTCGCTGGCCTGGCTCTCTCTCAGCCCACCACTGAACATGGCCTCAAAGTAGCGGCTGCAGGCAGCCAGCACTGCACGATGGCAGGGGAAGGAGCGGCTGCCTGCATGAAGCAGGACGTCTGTGAAAAGTCTTTGCTGCCGCAATGAGTTGAGGTGCATGAGGACACTGTCGGCATAGGAGGACTTGTGGAACAGGTAGATGTTCATAGAGCCGGTGCTGGCCCTTGATTTCCGGTTCTCATGGACGCACACGGACATTTTCATTGAATCCTGGGAGAGAAAAGACAAGAAAAATCTTTCTTTAATGCAATTCCTATTGTGAGTCAACAGTTTGGACAGTTTCGTTTCATCACAATGATTCTCTTTTGAAGAGGAAGCATGCTTTCAGTAATAATATAAGAGTTTGTTCAGGAAATAATTTAGATTAGTGTCCTGTTTTAGTTTTTCTTGGATGATGAGACATCCACCAAACAATGATCGCCCCTAGGATGTAAAAACTTTAAATCGAGATAAATCATGATGTTTATTAAGAGAAACTTGATTAAAGGTCAAAGTATAAAAAGCAGATTTTGCTATCATTTTAGTTTTTATTTATTTTATTATTTGTGTTATTACATTGCATCCTCAGCAGGGACTATAGCACGCTGCCACACTGTGATCTCAATGCTGAAATATAACATTGTTGAGCCCGAATACTCAAAGTGTTTTGCTTTCTTAGAAACCGAAAGACGTTCGATAATTAAAAGTACAAGCAGCATCTGACAGTTGTGAAGGTCAAGCAGATAACAATTGTCTTCTCTTCAGAGAGCAGGAGGCTTTTCCACTTTCATCTCTTACCAGTACTAATCCCCTTCTCGTTGAGATGCCATGATTTATAAGAAAAAAAGAGGAAAGAAAGAGCAGGATTCTTTTAAGCTTCTGGGAAAGGCCCAGCATTGACTCCTCTTCCAAAGTCACAGCTCCAATCCTCACAGTCCTTGCCCTGTCCTCACTCAGGGCTCACTCTCATCCCTCCCAATTTCAAGACATGTCAAGTGCCTGCATGCCGTGTGTTTCCAGAAATACTGAGTCGCTGTCTAAACTATTAAATCCACAACTGACAGATTCTTTAAACAGACATTTTAGGGTCTCAACCTGCTCTAAATAGTTTGGGGGAAATGATTTGAGCAGTGAAAGAAGATTAGTTAATCTTTACAGTAAACCTTCAGAAAGGATTATACCCATCTAATTCTGCAGGCTTCAATTCCACTGGTGAAAAATGTTCAAAGCAAGGTTGTTAACAGTAGCAAAACATCCTTAAAACATTTACCTTCTCATGCCAATCCATATTCTCATTGTATCACACAATGAAATAACCCTCACTACTTTGATGGGAGTGTTTAAAACCCCTTTTCTCCAATCATGATTGTCACACGCAGAAGAAAAACTTTCATCTCAACACTTATAGAGCTCTAACATTCAGAGGTGTCTTACACAGCTGCTGAGGACACTTTCCATTTTCCTCAAGTTGCATCATCTGCTACAGAATCTTCAGAATGCTCAGAATGCTGTCACAATCAGGTGGCCCTCCCACCTTTGGCCTCAACAGAGCTGCGTAGTTACTTGCCGTTTAAGTTAAAGATCAAATTACTGTTGCTCCGGAGAAAGACCAGAGCGAGTCACTCTGACATTTGCATTCTCACAATCAGCCCCAGTTCAGTGCATGTCAGAAAGCAGTTTTATTGCCATTAAGAAGCTCTGTATGCTTTGCTTATTTACAACGAACAAGCCAGCCCATTCCTGCCACATGTATGGTCTTAAATAGTACACTTGCATTTGAAATTAGAGGTGTGACATCTTCAGCGATAATTGATAATGCTCCGGGTCCACCTACGCTGCCAGCATGCTAGGGGAACAAAAATAGCCCTGCCATTCTTCCATGCATTTGTACATTTTATACAGAAGGGCGACAGAGAAGCCTTGAACGGCCTGTGTACATTGGGCTTTTTAAAACAGTGAGGCTGAATAGTGCAAGGAGAGAAAGATGTTGAGAATATGTGAAGCCCGATTTCAATGTTAAAGCACATCCTGTGGTTGTGTCATAAAATTAACATATATGTACGTACAAACAGCATTCCAGTTATATTTGACAATAATAATAAGACGAAGAATATTATTCATCACAACTTTATGAAATGCTAAAAAACAACTGCCATTTTGTTTCAGCAGGATTTATTGCATTCCAGCGCTGACAAAAGTAGCAACTCGTCATCTCATAGCCTCTGGCTCAACTATAATGAGACTGTCCTCTCACCTGCTGCACATTCCACACACACGCAGAAAACTAAAACTGTAGCTCGGGTTTTCTGGAAGTCGTAAGTGGGTTGATTTAAGCAATTGACCCAAACAAATCAGTCTGTGAACGCTAGGATTTGCATATCCCACTGATTAGCATGGTAATAAGTATAACCTTCAGCGGTTCAGGAGGCACAGTGGCTGTTGCACAAAATAATTTGATCACAAATCAGCAGTTGTGCTTATTGGTATGTATTTGGTATTATGTGGTCATTTTCTTCTCATGGGGGAGAACAGTGACAACACGAGGATTGAAAAACAAAAACTTTCCTGCAGTGAGTAAATGTTACTGTTGTTTGTGTTGGTGTGCTCTAACTTATTAAGTAAAATCATTTCCTCGTTGAAATGACTAGGAGTCCCACAGTCTCAGCCACATGTTTGTATGGGCGAGGGATGACACAGTCTAGGTCTCAGGAATGTCAGAGTTTTAATCTGTTAAAGCTTAAGAGTATAAAGCAGTTTTCAGACATGAACTCCAGAAAATGGGGTCTGGATATTTTCTGGGTTTTCCTTTTATATTTGAAGAGCGCAGCAGGAGATTTTCCAGGTCAGACACGTTCCCAGCAACAACAAAATGTCCAAAACATCCAGCCAAGGGTTGGTGTCTGGGTAGAGCATGTGGGAGGAATGACATGATGTATAAATGCTGCACCTTTTTGTAATGTTTTGGCTTACGACACATCAACTCCAGCATCGGTTCTTATCATCACAACTCTCAAATCTCCGAGAGATATTTGTATTACTTTTAAACAAACCCCCGGTGTGCATGTGTGGACGGCAAACTGTGGGTAAACTCTGTAGCAAATTCTCTGTAGGTCATGTCTGAAAACAAAAGAATCAAGAATTTCAAAATGTCTTAAAGTCTTATTTCTCATCACAGCATCTATTCATCAACCCCATGTTTTATAACACCTGAATTTTACATTTATTAACTCATGGCCTAAATCATGATAATCTGAGTTCACACATTCCTGTACTATCCTGCTGCCACTGACCCATTCGCCCCCACATATCTAAGTTTTGCATTTTATTAAACGACAAACAAACTTAGCCAGAGTTAAAGAAGCTCACTCATACATGCAGTGAGCGCAGGAGAGCTGGAAAAAGGGAACAGCCGCATACTTAGACCATTTGCATTTCAAAGTATGGTTACCAAGTAGGCCTGCAGGTCATGAAATCTTTTCATTCACTAAGTTGTAATTTAAATGGCACTTTGTCGTATGTTATAAATCTGCTTGTCTATACAGAGTAAATACTTTACCTACCTGTACATTTATGCTATATTCAAGTCTGTTGTTCTTTAATAATCATCATCAGTTGAAACTATAGACCATCTCTAAACTATGTTTCCTGCATTCCTCATTAACCCAACACGACTGTTGGTAGATCCGGTTATTTCAACTTATATAACCACTTAAATCAAGAGTATCAAGCTCATTTTCACTGGTCAAAAAACCCTAACATCAGGCTTTCGTCTGCAATGGGATGAATGGATACAATCATCATTCACTTCTCTTGTCACTGACTCTGCAGCAGACACAGGTCTCCTGCAGTTAACACATGACAACCAAGTGAATGTGCTACTATCTTCTTCTTTATTTTGGTGGTGGCGATACGTTCAATATAAATAAAAAATGAATCGACAGGTAGCCAGCACCCTGTAGCAGTCATTGGGGGAAATGTGCTTCTTCTGCATCCTCAAATAAACTACATTAGTGGTCTGGGGTCAAACCACCATGTAGGACTGTTAAAGACACAGATGGACTGACCCTCAACGGGTGCTGATCTCCGTCATGGCAACTACATTCCTAGAATCACTTCGTCTTTAGCAAATTGTCTTCAAAAGCACAGTGTTTGATTTGCTGCTGTAATGCTTTACACAGAGCTTTTATTTTGAAAAGTTGTGAACTTGGCTCTGAAAATTGTGCCAAGTGCTTAACGAACTTCTGGAATAGCCTAAAGGCAATGTGTGAAAAAATAACAGCAGCTAAGTAAACCCAGTTTTCTTCACTCTGCATCATAGGCTGTTTATTTAAAAGCTCTGCAAACAATATCCAGCAAGCAAACAATAAAAAGTGACAGTTCAAAGAGGGCTAACTCTGAAACCACTCCGCAGCATCTCCACAGGCCACGCTCACAGGCAGGTTTAGAACGGTCACTGCAGTTAATGTGACTGTAAAGAGAAAAAGGGTTACAGCAACACTGTCAACATCCTAAGTTAAAACACAAAGGAGGGAATTGTCAATGATATTGTTTGACCTAGTTGCCAATATATCATTTATTTTATCATGCATCACGTCCCCATCTCCAGAGTTTATAGTATCTTGCAGCTCAACGGGGAAAGCTATGATGACAGTCTGCCCTCTGTTGTTTAGGATTTCTCAAAACAACCTTGACCAACGTCTGCAGATTTAAGTGAAACGGACAGTGCAGTCCTGGAGTTTTTAGCCACAGCGAGGGAGTTAAAAATTCCCTACAGCATTATCATTTCATCATCAACACAATAAATTGGGCCTTAAACATCCTAGGTTTTAAAACTTTAAAAGAAAAGTGAAAATGCCAAGTTATTATTTTATTATTGTCCTAAATCTTGAGAACTTTGGCAGCAAACTAACTGTTTACCACTGAGGTTATTATTTTTATCTCATCTTTAACCACAGACAAATTAATTACTTTTTTTCCCAGCTGCATCCACAGGAGGAAACATAATATCCTCACTTTTCATGTCTTGGAGTTCCCCTGATTGCCTGTGTTACACTCATGTGATAGTGTGGCTGTTGGGTTTTTGGCTTTATCGTGCGCCCTCATTGTTATCTGATGAGCGTACGCATTCACTTTGATTCTAGTTGTTCTAATTATTTTCAAGAGTTGTTACTGAGGCATATTGATTGCAATTTATAACCTTAATGAAAATTAAATAAAAATAAAGTATTTTGCAGCGTAAACCAACAAGAATTGAAATGTTCATGGATTAGTTGCCTGACAGAAAAATGTAAAATATATTGATAATGTTTTCAGTCAAATTTTCAAGCACAAATAGCAAAAGTGACACTATACCACTCTGTGCTTCAGACTCTCAGTTGCTTTTCTTTTGTCCCATATGTGAATACCTTTATGTGTCTGACTGCTGGTCGCAAACAAAACAAGCACATATCAGTGCAGTGTCACTGATCAATTAACCGAAAGATAATTAGTCACTAATGAAAATAATTATTAAAGTGAACAAACTGTGCCCGTGGTAGTATATTTAGTCCATGATCAATTCCACAGCCCAGTTTGTGTGACAATAACACAGTCGGTACATTCACCCCAACATTCCCTGAGAGTGTGTGGGTGTGTGTGAGACATGTCCACCCCATAAACTCACAGAGAGTGGAAGTGCACAAAAAAACATGGTGAAGAACAAGAAGAAAAGGCACATGCATGATCTGTGGACTGGCTGTGGCCTAGCTGGGCTCAAATCATTGCCAGGTGTCCACAGTCAACCATGGGCTGCAGGAAGAGGGATGGGGAGGGAGAGACTTCAAAAGTAAACAACAGGCTTATATGGGCCAAGTGTATACATCTGCTGTTTTCAAGGGGAGGGGGGGGTGATGAGATTTTCAAAAACAAGAGCAGAGCAACTATTGATCTGATCGTCTGCATCCATCTTCATCCAAATCAAACCGAATGAGATTTAGTCTCACGCCAGCTGTCCACGAGGACGCTGAGTTAAACCTTCCCACTAACTATTGGTTATCAGAGGGTAATGGAGAGAGGAGAGGGCGACACACCTGATGTTGCCTTCAAAACATCTCGGGCGTGCGTGAGGAACAAGACGCTCCGGAGAGGACGCGCAGGAGGAGAGGAGGAGATCTGGGCTCAATTTCACAGAAGACACACACATACAACAATCACCGTGCAGGGTGGAGGGCAACAAAAACATACCACCGACATGGCCACAACAATCTTTTGTGTGTTCTCTGCTGCGCTCTCTCTCTCTGTTAGTTTCCCATCGTCAGGGATGCAGCGGCGGCTCCATTAAAACAATGGTGTGGGTGTGGAGCAGCCTTTTTACGCACGGTCTACGGGAGCGGTTTGTAGGGGATCGGTGGGGAAATGTACCTCTTCTGGTGAAAGCAGGAGTTCAATTGCGCCCGCGGTGTCCCCGGAACATGCCACCCGTGAAAAAGCCACGATGCGAGCCCCGCGCTCGGGGGGGAGTCTGCTGGTTAGTCCGTGCTGGTTCCCGTGGAATGCCCGGAAGCTCGAGTCACGCTGCGGCCGCCGTCCTCCACACTTCTGGTTACACGCGAGTGGAAATATTCACGGACATCGGGGCTTCGGCACAGACTGAGAGACGAGGCTGTTGTTACCGAGGTCTGGAAGAGTTGTGCGGAGACTGAACTCCGCTGCTGTATGACCGTCCTCCTCCTGCTCCTGGTCTCCCACCCCCTTCTCTCCTCTCTCTCTCTCTCTCTCTCTCTCTCTCTCTCTCGCTCATCAATGGGTGTGTTTACTGTGGGGGGAGGACCGCCACCTCGTGCAGGAAATGAAGTGTGTGGTGGGGGAGGGTAGGGAAAAGAAGGGGGAGGGTCTTCGATGTAACCCCCCCTAACCCCCACACACAACACACACAGTTGTGTCTCTATGACTTCAGAGGACATAACATTGACTTGCATTCATTTCCTGGAGACTAAAGTCCAGTTCATGCTTCTTCTGCATCAAATCTAGGCTATAGCTCTGGCGTAGCCTATGCATCTAGACGTGCACCCTACGCAGAACCCTACACCGTACCCTGACGTGCATCTCCCCAAAAATGGAACCACTCGAGGCAACGCAGACCACAAGAGCTGTGACAGGTCCGCTGTGACAGGTCCGCTTGTCAGCATCGCATTTCCGGGAGACAGTATTTCCAGAATTTCCGACTTCGCATCCATCTCCTATGATGTCTTTTTTTTCTTTGTTGCAGTTCTTTAAGGAAAGGTAACACGCCATTGTTCCGAAGTAAATAGAGATGCCAGAGACTTTGCAAATAAGCAGACCGGAAACCGGAGGAAACTCAACCGGTAGCATAGAAACTCAACACCCATTAGAGTTTCAGCAGTGTAATTGCAGAGCGACGCACACACACCTATGCACAACTATGAATGCTCGTTGGCCCAGTACATACCTACAACATACCTTTAACACAGAAGCATGAATCAGGCTTTATTCGAATCTTAACAATAGTTGCCTAACCCTAACCCTTGTTCCCATGTGCACATGCCCCTCGGAGCTCAATCCTACCCTTGACCTAAACCTGACCTTAACTTTACCCCAACCATAGTCAAACTTGCCTATCCATACACTTACCCTAACATTTATGTAAAGCCAACCTGGACCTAAACCTAACAAAATACACTACTTACCTAAGTATCAGTCTTACTCTATTTTCACCTAAGCCCAATCTTAACCCTCCAAATTCTCCTTTAACTGCTTAAGTTGTCTTGTACTACAACTTCCTCTTTGTGGGAATCCCATTCTAACCACTCAGTCATTTGTCTGAGGCTGCCTGGATAGGCTGCATTCATTTGTTTCAATAAATGTGTCAGAATAGGGGTCGCACTATTTACTCTGGCCTTTACCCATCTCTAGTTCTTTGTCCTACTGTGTTGTAAAAAGTAACAGCAAACCTACCAGTTAATGCCACAGACACAGTTTAAGTCCAAAAGGATTTTTAAGACATTGTATTTTGTGGTTGGGGTAGTTGGGAATGATAAGTTCAATTTCATTCCTGGATGACATTACACACTTACTGTAGCTTCTTATTGAGGATATGCAGCACACTGATCCTGAGAGAAGTGTGTTTGGGTGTGAAGAAAAATTGCAAATGGTCCATATATGTGATGTGAGAGACACCTAGTGGAAGAAAAGGCTCATCACTGGGAGCCTTTCTACTTATGTTTGAAACAGAATGTAGTTTTAAAATATTACTATTGTAACTGCAACATTCAATTGCCTTTGTAATTCATTTTTATTCGTTCTTATTAAGTTAAAAGGCCCCAAAAATAATATAGTGATAATGAGATGGAGTACGAATCTGCTGTGGAAACTACAAACACAAATAAATCAATAAAGTGTGTCAGTGTGTCTGTGTGGGTGTGGGTGGGTGTGTGCGCTGCACTAATGTGAATGTGAATATTACTTTCGGGTTTCTTTGGTGATGGGTCAACTATAATGAAACACTTTCTGGAGCTGCACCTTAATTTTGTTGTACATGACAATAAAGTTTCTATTCTATTCTATAATGTCATGAACTTAGAAGAATAACTGTAAGATTGATATTGATATTGATACATCAGATTACAATTGTAATAAAAAAAATTACCTCTAATTCCACAGATGTCTGGCAGTATGTAAAACTCATAACATTTGAACACATAATTTGATCAACTTCATACATTGATATATAACATTCATATATCAATATCAACACAAATTGAATATACAGGCAACCAGCGCTCTAGCAGTAAGTGGGGCAGTGAGACTTCAGTTGAACGTGTATTCTTCAACATCCTTGGATAAAGTACAGTAGATAACCATGGGAGTCAAACCATGGGTCAAAATCGCAGCATTGATATGATTATTTTTTTCATTTTAGCATAACAGCCTGTCAGACAGCAGCCCCACCTGTCTGAATATTTCTTGGGAACCTTAAGAACTCCAGTTACTGGTCAATGTTTCCTGTTTTGAGCTAATTTAGCTGCCTTTGGTTTATGGCTGTGAGAAGGTACATCAAAATATGAGACAAATAACAATCAGCAGCACGCAATGCGACAAGGAAGTATTCAAATTAAATTAATTAATATAGAGCTATGTCAAATGAAAACTTGAACACATGAAAGCAGTAATAAGACAATAAGACATTTTTAAAATAAAAGGTGAAAACTCGCACAATAAAAATAACAAAACAACATCACATGAAAAGCAAGTCACATAAAAATGGGTTTTAAGAGGTGATTTAAAAGAAGTCAATGACTCTGTGAGTCGTACCTCTTTAGGTTGGCTGTTCCAAAGCCGAGGGGCCATGGTCATCTTTAGTTTTCTGCCTTGAATTTGGAACAACCAGCAGGGCTCCACCTGAGGATCTTAGGCAGGACAGGACAGGCATGACCCATGCTTTAACGTGATCATTGAAATATTATATTCAAATCTGCATACACACACACACACACATATATACAGTATATATATACACTAACTGAAACTAAATACTAAAAAAATACTTTAAATAGAAAATAACTTCATTAAAATGAACAACTCTACAACTATCATATATTATATTATAGACCAGGGATAGGTAGTAGATAGGCAGATGGTTTAGAGAGATGGTAACAGATTATTTATTGTTAAAGGTAACCACAAAGCCTATTTAGAAGTACGGATCCTTTTCATTTTCCATTTTAAATACAGTGCTGTTAGTAAGCTCATGGATCCATAGGACGATCAACAAATAATATAACTAGAGCCGTCAGTGTGGAGCCATAATAAGAAGCAGAAACTTTCTTTACTGTTTGTTTTTGAATCAGTAATGGGTGCTGTCAATAGAAAACACTGTCTCCCTGTTATCAGACTATGAGAGTCTGTTTGCTAACATTAGCCCACGGTAGCATTCAGCTACCTAACCTCAGTTTTAAAGTACTAACACAGCGTGGTAATGTGTTCTCTCCATTCATCTACTGTTAGGAAACACAGTAAATACACAGGTATCATTAATAAATGGATCGATCTTCAGACTCCTCATCACTGGAGAGGAAACAGGAGGTGCGCTCTCCTGGCGTTTTGACGCACGAGGGCCACCGTAGCTCCCTCTCGCTCAGGAAGGGAGGGGGAAGTGAGTGGGTTGTAATTTCACACACTTCACCTTTAAATGTTTTGCACAACTGACTTCCGCTTTAAGTCCCGCCCTGCCCCGCTCAGACAAAATGTTGTTGCGGTGTCTCGTCTCGTGATTCCGCCGCTGTCCATCGACATGTTCGCTTCTCTGAGCGTCGCCGCTCTCACGCTGCTCCTCGGGGTTTGCTCAGCGCTCCAGGACGACGTCGTCCTGACGGAGGAACAGCCCGTCTTCGAGCCTTCGAAGTACGGCTCCCTGTGGCCTCTGCCGCAGAAAGTGCAGATCTCGGAGGTTCCATTCAAGCTGATCGGCTCTAGCTTCAGATTTGTCGACGCCAAAGGTTCATCCGCCGGCCCGAGCTGCAGCGTCCTGCAGGATGCCTACAGGAGGTGAGGGGCTGGATGTGTCATGTGCAGGCTGGGTTCACAGGAGAAAACGTTTCCAGATGTTGATGGACGTCTCTCACCTCTGTGCCTTTTGTCCACAGGTACTACGAGTACTTGTTTGGCAGCTTTAAGAGTCAGGGGCAGGGCAAAGGCAGGAAGCCAGGCAGCTCCGAGCTGACAGAGCTGCAGGTGTGGATCACATCACCTGACTCTGACTGTGACGGTTACCCCAGTGTCACATCGGATGAGTCATGTGAGTCTCACTCTCTTCCTCGTTGAATCTCATATCTCATAACAATGGTGGGAAGTGTTTTCCTGAAGTTTTTCCTGAACACTTATCTCTAAAGCTGCTGAAGTGCAGACTGGGATCAGACTGTCGACTTTCTGGTGAGCCTCCTGAGGATTCATCATGAGTGAGACCCCAAAATCTAATTTAAAAAAACAAAGAAAACAAATATCTCATCAGAGCATCTATTCGATTCATCTAACTACATCTTACAACCAGAGAAAGGGTATATGCCATTCGACAGTAGATCTAGAGATAACCTGGACAGCAGATACAAGAATTGGCACGGTAAATCTAGGACGGACGTTTAAAGCCCCCCTTCAGACCCTGCCGAGCTTTGACCAGAATAAATATATGCATGCAATGTAAAACTGTGTCGTGTCCACAGATGAGCTGACTGTGGATCAGCCCTTTGCTGTCCTGAAAGCACCAAAGGTCTGGGGAGCCCTGCACGGTATGATCTCTTCTTTTTGTTATTTAACCATTACACAGCAAACTTTTACATCAGACAGTTGTTTTCCTTCTTGATTCATCAGGAAATTGGACCCACAGCTAGAAAGTTTTCGGCTTGATAAATCATAAAGTCTGAGAATCTGTAATAAAACCTGCTTACCTGCACCACAAAAGCTCAGATACTATCACCTAGTATTTTTTAAGTTTAATCCATTGTATCATATTTTATGTAAAAAACCGAGTGGTATTGATCTTCTCATGTATCCCTCATCAAGAACACAACCTAATTAATTTATGGTACGATTAAAACAAAACTCACTTTGTGCGACCGAGGTCCCAATATGGGACTTTTACCACATTACTATCAGGGACAAAAGTATTCATGATAACAATGCAATCATACAACAATTCACTAAATCTCGAATTTAATTTGATCTGCAACAAATTCTACACATAAATATCAGTCCAGTGGATCGGCCCCCTAATCTGGATCCACACCTAAAAGTGAATGTGTTCTTTCCTGACTCATCATTTCAATTGACTGTCTTCCAACTATTAGTTTTTGCATGATCCGGCAAACTAATAGACAGACAGATACAAAAACATAGCCTCCATGATAATGATAATATGCTGGTGTGTCAATAAAACACAGACTCTGTGGCATAACGTGTTTTGCAACAACGTGGTGCAAACTTGCTGCTTGAAAAAATAAAATGACAGTGTGTTTCTCATGTGTTTTTTAAGGTCTGGAAACTTTCAGCCAGTTGATGTATGAAGATGAATATGGAGCCGTAAGTGACAATATCACTTCAATCCAACTTGCATTCAACATTCAAACTCAGCTGGGCTGTATGTACATGAGCCTGGGTTTATCTCCATTTTTGTTTTCAGAAAAGCATCAATGCCACAACAGTCAGTGACTTCCCCAGATTTGCACACAGAGGAATCTTGCTCGACAGCTCTCGGCATTTCCTGCCCGTCAAAGTCATCTTGGTTAATCTGGTGAGTCGGTGAGAGCTGCGTATTTTCTTGTTTCCTCATTTTATATATTATGTAAATACATCAACGCGCCTTTTCTGTGTTCATTCACACAGGAAGTAATGGCGATGAACAAATTTAATGTCTTCCACTGGCACATTGTGGATGAACAAGCCTTCCCTTACATGAGCCAGACATTCCCACAACTGAGCGAGAAGGTCAGTGGGACTAATTATTGATTTACGTCAATAGTAGGACACTCTGAATAAGAAGCTTATTCACTGAACTGTTCACAGGGAGCTTACCACCCATACACTCATGTGTATACACCTGCTGATGTGAAGATGGTGATTGAGTTTGCCCGCATGAGAGGCATTCGCGTCATCCCGGAGTTTGATACCCCAGGACACACACAGTCATGGGGCAAAGGTGAGTTTTGCAAGTATTACATGAAGGAAATTATTGGAGTCAGCCCCCCTTTTTTGTAATTTCTGCTTTAAAAAAATACCTGGAAGCATTAAACAATGGTGTATTTGAGACAATAAAAGATAAAGAAATGAATTCAGTCTACATCATTCCTGTTAGGCCAAGCCGATCTGCTCACACCCTGTTACTCTGGCGACAAACCCTCGGGAACCTTCGGACCGGTAAACCCCATCCTGAACACTACGTATGACTTCATGAAGCAGTTCTTCGGGGAGATAAGCTCCGTGTTCCCCGATGCCCACATTCACCTCGGGGGTGATGAGGTGGACTTCAGCTGCTGGTGAGAAACACTATTGGAGACGTCTCCACATTTGAGACCAAACAGCCGTTAATGCTGGTTGGTGTTTGTGCTTTGCCCTGCAGGAAGTCCAACCCAGACATTAAGAAGTTCATGGATCAGCAAGGCTTCGGAGATGACTACAGAAAACTGGAATCATTCTACATCCAAAAGTGTGTTTCTCATTCGTACACTAGTATACTGCTTGTGCTCCAGGTTTTATTCCTTATTCCCTATTACTTTTTTCCCTTGTTTTATTTGACAGACTCCTAGATATCGTCGCAGGAACCAAAAAGGGCTACACAATCTGGCAGGAGGTCTTCGACAATGGCGTTAAGGTAAAGTGTAGTTTCTATGTCAATGAGTATGTCCATGTAATAAAACCAGAGCTGTGTCCCAATTCAGGGGCTGCTTCCTGAAGTCCTACAAAGGCACCTTCGAGGAAAATGCAGAATCAAAATTTGTCATGTCTGGTCTGTAACAGGCTACTATTAACCCTGGAATAGGTTGGCCTGAGAAGGGTTCAACTGTGGGACACTTAGTTTCTGGGGAATGGGTTTGTCAGCCACGTATAAAGGAGACATCGTAGTCATGCTGATGTCGAGCAATCAGTCTTCAAAAGCAGAATGTGTCCCTTGAATTGGAATACAGCTGAGATGTATGGGCACAGATTTGAAAAAGTATTGAAACATTTTGTGGGGTGGTTGTGTTTTGTTTTTTTATCCTCTGTCAGAATAGTTTGACATTTTGGGAAACGGTTTTCTTTTTTACTGAAAGTTCGATACAAAGATCAACCACTCTTGTGACTGAACACTGAAATGAAGCAAAGTCAGCAGCCTTAAAGGAAATGAGACTCTGTTCAAAGGTAACAAAGGTCTACATTTAACTCATTATCCAAATGACAAAAGCTACTCAAGTATACATATAAATATAGTTTTAATGAATTACATAGTATGAAACATGAGTTTGACACCACAAAATATGTTTGTGAGAAAATTAAAGATTGAATTAATGCAAAAGTATTTACACAATGTTAATTAATCAGAATAAACCACAGCAGATTTAAATTAACCTTCTGTAAGTTACTCACTAAGGAGTCCCCTGCAATGACAGAGGCTGTCTTGGAGTTTAAACTATGTGGTGTTGACAATGCGTCCCCTTTCTAAACTGGTTCTTCTTGCTCTTTCTCTCTTACATCTGTCTTCTCTCCCTCTCCGCATTGACACACACACACAATGTGTTATGTTTTTTTCTAACTACAACTTGCTGGCTACCCTTAAAATTGATCCTGTGCAACTGTTTTTTGGGTCTGACATCATTCCGAGGGCTGAGCTGCGAGGTACAATGGAACAAGGCAACAGGTCTGATTGACAGTGCGAACGGCACAAATCACGTTAGCTGATCCTTTCAAATCAGATTTAGGCCACTTTCATATGTGGTTCCATATCAAATACAGATCAGATTTCTTTGAAAAAAATCTGAACAGCCATGCCCCATATCGTAGTTCAGCGACATTCCTCATAATTATGTGCGATCGAAAGGCAGCGGGCGGGTCTTGTGGAGAGGCGCTGACAGAAATTTGCTTCATTGAAGCCATTGACATCCCACACACAACTCTGGGCTGAAGCAGGCTGAAAAGCCATAATTCAACTTTCAGCTTTCCTCCTGTTCATTCTTCTCCTACTCCTCACCTGCTGCCGCATTTGCCTGCTTCCACTGTACAATAACTTCAAAATAAAACCTCAAATGCTCACATCACGCCTCTATTTTTCTGACCGACATTTTCTCCTCCTGGGTTGTTTTGTTCTTCTGTGCATGCGGGTCACATCAGGGCCATGACCAGTCCACTTTGGAGTCTGATACTGGCCACATTTTGAAAGATAATGTGAACAGCTGCATAAAATAGAAAGGCTAGTAGCGTGAACATATTTCCCAAAATGTTGAACTATTGTTTTTAACCTTTTAACCAGTTCTAACAACTCTTGTAGTATTTAACCTAAAAACAGTAGTTTGGCCTGTAACAATTCCAGCTAAGGCCAGATACAGTAGTACATGTGTGGATGAACCGTGCGTCTGAAGAGGAGATGAGCAAGTCAACAGCAGCAGGATACCATACCATCCTCTCCGCCCCATGGTACTTAGATTATATTAGCTACGGACAGGACTGGCAGAGATACTACAAGGCTGAGCCACTCAACTTCAACGGTCAGTTTTCATTTTTGTAAATGTGTCGTGTCAAATCGAACATGTAAATGATCTTGGTTTGTGGAGGCAAAAATCTCGATATAATTCAACAGGCTTACAATGTTGCACAGGTGGGACAAGGTTAGACAGTCAGAGAAAGACCGGCAGTGTGGTTGTTGGTTTCAGATTGTGTTCCGTTCAAGGGCCGAGGTAGTTCACCACAGTGGCGGCCCAAGCCAGGTGCATTTCAAACAATAGTCCAATACACTAAAGCCAATCATTGACTGTATTAGGCAAAAAATAAGTCGGGATTGGTCCTTCATATAAACAGAACAAGACAAGAGCTGGACGCAACCTTTTTCCAGATTCTTCCTCTAGGTGTCATCAAGCAGAGCGTGCTCTGCAAATTGATTCATAATGAACAAGCAGAAGTAAAAGCACAAACGACAAACAAGTGGACTCTCAATAGAAGACTTGGAATCTTCGTCCTTGTGCTTCCTCCCTTCCCAATTTCTCTTTATCTCGCCAATACTAATATATGTATGTATGTATTTATGTGTGTGTGCTGTGTAGCTGAAACCAGACACACAAATCCACGTTTGGAAAGGGACCCAGCAGCAATACCAGGATGAGATGGCACATGTTACTTCATCAGGGTACCAGACCCTGCTGTCTACTCCCTGGTACCTGAACCGTATCTCCTACGGACAGGACTGGCTGGCCGCTTACAAGGCTGACCCGCAGGATTTCAAGGGTTTGTGTATGCATGATCTGTTCTGCAAGATTTATTCGCCCGATCTATTTTGCCAGGACATTTGGCGTTGCAACATTGCTGCTTGTAGTATTTACACGAGGGATTTTGAAGTTTGCCTCGGTCATACGATTGTTTAATTGCTCTGTTACTGTTTAACTCGAGACAGATCTGAATTATCTTAGAGTTGTCACTCTTGTGCAAGTACGTGTAAGCCTGTTGAAAAAAAAACATGCCAATAAATCACCACACAATTGTAATTCAGTTAAACTAAACATGGTATTCCTTTTTCTTTCTAGTCCAGTGGAGTTTTGTTTCCCTGCTGCCTGATCTCATCAAATATTACATTTTTAAAACAGGAACCGAGGCGCAGAAGAAACTTGTGATGGGTGGAGAAGCTTGTTTGTGGGGTGAATATGTGGATGCCACCAACCTGACACCCAGACTCTGGTATGGCTCATGTGCTTCCTTTCAGATGTTACAAATGTGAGATTTTATATATACCTACAGCAGCCAACAATCATTAACAGTGGAGATATGGTGCCCTGAGCAGAGAATGAAGTCACAACTCCCCTCTCTGGGTCCAAAACCAGGGTTGGGAGACCTTGATCGATTGACACGTTATAACAAGCCAAACAACTAGAAATGGTGGATTTTATACATAAATAAATTAAAGACAAAAGATCTATTCACAGCATCACAAGCAACACTGATGTGCTCAAATCCCTATGCTCTGTGATCGAAGGTCCTGTTGCTGAAAGGTTTGGAAACTGTTGTAATCATAAGAGCTTTTCTGGTTTTTGGTTTGGTAGCCGGTCCAGGTAAACATTCGTATGTTAGTTTAGAGTGCACGAGAGCTATTGCCACATCTAGTTGGTGTGAATATTGTGTGTGTATAGAACCTTTAATTAGCTCTTACGGGAGAATTAATGTACTTTGAACCCTCACATCACATGTCTGACTGACATCTCTCATGTCTTTTTCTTTTCTTGTCTATAACCCCCAGGCCTCGTGCCAGTGCAGTGGCAGAGCGGCTGTGGAGCGCCAAGAATGTGACAGACATCAACGATGCCTACAACAGACTGTCCATGCACCGCTGTAGGATGGTGGAGTAAGTATCTACAGTCTCTTTTAAATATTTGTATCTAAATCAGTCTCCGATCTCCAAATGCTAAATCAGAATCTGAGAACCATGCTTAAAAACACCCTCTTTCTTTTTCCATCAGGCGCGGGATCCCAGCTGAGCCGTTGTTTTCCAGCTACTGTCGCCGTGAGTACAGAGGTATCTGACGGGAGGTGAACAGCTGGCCACGGGGACGGAAAAGGGAAAAATGAATCAAATCCAAACGCAATCATGCCTGAATTGAAAACTGATATACAGAAAATACAGAACATGTTTTTGTGGAGAGATGACATCGAAACATTGAGACACATTGCCTTTCCAATCTGCTTTACAGAGCTCTCGATCAACATCTAATATTATCAAACAACTGGATCAGTAACTACATTCTTTGGTTTTTTTAATGAATGATTGTATAATTGATTGTGAATAAAATTTTGAGATTTTAAGTGCTAGTCTGTTGTTTTATTTAAAAAAAAAAAACAGGATATGAAGTAATTGGTTGCAGATTTACTTTACACATACTTATTCACACTATAATTATATTTTACTCAGATATGACCTGGAAAAGCCTGTTTGGGCAGCAGTTGTTCCTCTTTCTCAGAAGCCAGTTGGTCCTGTTCCTGATCTATTTGAGTTGCTAACATGAATCACAACAGACCAGACATTCTTTTGAGAAGGATGTTCTGGTCCTGAGGGTTCATGGTCTCGTAAGTGTCCAGCGCCAGAGAGAAAGTGGCGTTGCCGGATGTTATTGTTCGCAGGATGGTGGAGTAGCCCTTCAGAAGGAAACAACAAAATTTAAGATAAACGACATCGAAAACCTTCCGACGAAATGTTTGCGTCAGATCTGATCTCACCATCATTTCTGCCAAGGGCACGGTTGCTAGCAGCAGCTTGTTGTCGTGACGACTCTGGATGTCGCTGATGGTGCCACGTCTTTGGGCTAAGTCACCCAGCACGGAGCTGAGGTGCTCCTCCTTGACTGTCATCTCCAGGGACATGACTGGCTCCAGGACCTGACCTCCTGCAAGCCTCAGGGCCTGCAGCCACACACGCACAACTTTAGCTCATCTATTGACAATCCTTCTAGTTTATATTCATGTGACATGTGAGCCTGTAATGCTTTACCTTAAGCATGCAGCGGGACACGCAGGCAGACACCATGGCTGGAGAAGTTCCTGGTTCCATGTTGACGTTCTGGATCAGCGTAGTTACACCCTGTAAAGGATAACCTAGCAATGGACCTGGAGGTGTAAGCACACATAAGAAACAATCAGCGAGTCTCAAACACAGTGACTACTGCTGTCAGATCAGTGCGATGTTTACTCACCCTCCTCATTTACAGGCAATGAAAAATGATTCTTACTCGGCTTCTTACTATGAGCGATCAACACAATATTTTGCCCAAGTTTAAACAGTTCTGGTGATTAAATGTGTTGGATGACTGCTTCGTGTGGCTGTTTAAAGTCACTGTACTGTGTAAATTGTCTCAGGTCTGTCAAAAGTTGAACACGCATATAGCCCTCTGAAAGAAAATCAGAGTTTGGGATTTAATTTTTTCTGAATTTAACTATGTTGTTTAATTAGCCATTAATATTTTATGTGAAAGGAATACATTTAAATTGAAACAGAGTTTTCAGCATGGTTTCCGGGGCCTTTTTAATAAAAACAAGAAATGAGTTGAGTCAGTGTTACCTTGAAGATATGAGCTGTGCACTCCATTCTCCACTGCATCTTTCAGTTCCTGTGATAGTTTCTCCTCGACCTCCTTTGTGAATGCTAAGTCACATGAAGCAGTTGTAGAGGACGCGTCCGCCGGCCCGACAGCCAGCTCCACTGTCACGACATGTCTTCTCTCGCCAACTGTCCGGTCCAGTGTATCTACATCATCAGCGGTGAGGAAAATCAATACAGCCACAGCATCTAGTCGACAAGAAACACCTAGTGCCAAGTTCACACTACATGAAATGTTGTCTTGAAGTCGCTGTAAGTTCATACGACGCAACTGACAGGCGTTTCATCCTGCTACAGAATGACTCATCAAGCTGGAGAAGAGGTGAAACACTTTGGTGGACACCACATCTCAGTAGTATAGACATAGCAAAGCATGATAATAACTCTCAACTTTAACAATGCAATAAAAAAAACATAGTATTTGATAATTACTGTCATAATGTACACACATTCTCATCTCCCTAGGACGTTATGTTTTCATCTCTGTTAGGATTAAGCAAAACCTTCAGGATGGATCACCACGATAAACTTGGTGGAAGGGTGTGATATGTGTCAACTGTCAATCTAGTCGCGGGAGGCGAGCCTCTCGAACCGCACCTTGGAAGAGTTCACACATAGCTAAACAGGCTAAACACGTTGTGTGAACTAGGCATAATGCTTAAGAAATATTTGCTGTACCTGTAGTCGAGGCCTCATGGAGAACAGTCTCTCTGTATGCCACCTGTAGAGGTCCAAGGTGAGTTTCAATGCCATACTCTCTTCTGATTCGATCATGGATGATCTCGATGTGCAGCTCTCCCATCCCGCACAAAACAGTCTGAGACAGTGAAGGACATAAAGTTGAGTCATTGTGGCAGATGCACTAAAGAACGTCCTGGGTAGTCCAGTGATGGTCATACCTGGCCAGAATCAGGGTCTACCCTCACTTTAAGACTGGGGTCTTCTCTCTGGAGGTTGTTCAGTGCATTCTCAAGATCTTTCAGGAGAAATAAAACACAAATGTGTGAGTGGCTGCAAGGATGCCGTGGTAAACAGCTTGTGCATGTGCAACCAAACTATCACTGACCAGCCTGTTTGGCCATGGTGGGTGGTTCAATAGTGCAGAAGAAGACAGGATCAGGGACCTCCACTCCTGAAAGCACCACGGTCGCATGGTCCCCATGCTTCTTCCCAGTGCTACTCTCATTGTGGGCTCTGCGGGCTGCAGCTGCTGCTGAAGCCTTGGATGAGACGATGGTGTCCCCTGTGACTGTCTTGAGTGAAAGCAGGAAAACATAAATAACCTGAGGAAAATCTTTAATTGAGCAGAGAAGGAACATGGTATACGACTTTCTACCTGCTTCAGTCCTACAGTTAGTGCAATGTTTCCCGCCGTCATCGAGGGGATCTCTACATGTTGATCAGCAAACGGCACCAGCAGCCTGCTCATCCTCTCGCTGCAGACAACATGATACAAAAATGTTGTTTTAACACATCATATGGGTCAAAACTGATTTGTCGGTCAGTCAGGGTTGCTTTACTGTAGGCGACGCACATGCTGTTCCTGTTGATGTTGTGGACGGCGGTCTGGGATTTCAGAGTACCAGAGTAAATCCTGAGAAACACCAGAGGACCACGCTGCTTGTCATGGAGAACCTTGAAGGCCAGAGCACATAGGTCATCTTTGTACCACCGCCTGTGGGATGACGATGAATTTTGAACAGTTACCATAGAGACAAAAATGGCCAAATGTTTATAGAAAGATATTTTCAAACTACCATGTTACATTTACTGAAGGTAAGTTGTTTTTTTAAATGTATCTTTTATCCATTTAACATTAATTGTGATTATTCACACACACCACTACAGAAGATTTCATGCTCGAAGTATTCACATATTCATCCCCACTAAAAAATACAATTTACATCATTTACATTTACACATGAGTGCAAATGAAACCTTGTTTCTTTGATGCATGTATTTTTCTTTTCTTTTGAGATGAAACCTCCCAACAATATTTGACAAGCTCAGTGGTAAAGTTCAACTCACTCAACAGACAAAGAAACATTTTTTCCTCTGCATCAATACACACAATTATACTTGTAATAACACAGAGCTTGGACAAACCCTACTGTCAGGCTGGAGTCACCTCCGGGAGGCAGCCACCCTCTCTACGTTTAAGAGTTGGCTTAAAACCTTTCTTTTTGATAAAGCTTATCGTTAAAGCTGGTTCAGGTTTGTCTTGTGCCATATTGTTTGGAGTGGACACATGGAGCTTCTCTTCCCTCCTCTCCCTCTTCATCACATTAATGTCTCATCAATACATGTCACTAATGACCTCACTTCCTCCCCAGAGTCCTTGTGCTTTATCGTTGCAGATCCTAGATCACTGCTGCAGCCACATCATGGATCACGATCACGGTGGCAGCTGATTGTGGATTTTGATTACATTTTTCATTGCTCCCTTCATCTCTGTCAAACATTTTGTTTTGTATAAATACTTGAAACATTGATACACCTCTCCATTTATGTTACACACGTCATCTATTGCACTCGGTCTTGGGAGACATATCCCTCACATGTGACTCTCTCTGGGGTCCCTGCATTTTCCCCCACTGTTAAAGGGGTCGGGGGCGTAGGTAGTGTTTTCTCACCCTAGTCAATAGTCAACAGGATGTTGCATCTTGTACAGGTAGTTAAACCCTTTGAGGAAAATTGTGATTTGTAAATATGATCTGTACAAAATAAACTACAATTTGATTTTGATTTGATGCTGGAATCTTTCTTTTACTCTGTGTTGTGACAGTTCTGGTCTCAGGTGGTTACTCACACCAGGTCGTGGTGCCGTTCACTGGGGGCAGGCAGGTAGGCAACGATGGCATCTAAAAGAGGTTGTACACCCTTGTTCCTCAAAGAGCTCCCACAGAGAACTGGGACGCCTTTACGAGCCAGAGTCACCCGCCGCACAGCCTCTTGTAGCTGGAGACACATTAAAACTGTTTACTGTTTTCACAAGCAACGGTGCTGCTTTACAGGCTTACAAAATAGAATTATTCATTACTTACTTTGATTGAAGGAACTGCATCAAAACTGTCACTAAAATCAGTTAGCAACAGTTCAGCAAACTCATCATCCAAATCAGCAACCTGGGAAAGAGATCCAAAATACAAAACTAATGTTTGTATATTTCTTCTTCCAGAAGTTGTATCGTGATTGCTGAAGATGATATTGATGATTTGTACCTGTTCAATTAAAGCTGCCCTGGCCTCCTTGACCTCCTGCAGGAGTTCTGGCTCATCAGAATGGTCGAGAGGTTTGCTTTCAAACATTCGTCCATCATCTCCTATAGATTTGTCTCCTATAGATTTTAGCTTCCAGATCAGCTTCTGGTTGGTCAACAGGTCAACCACACCCATGAAGTTCCTGCCGCTGCCAACAGGGATCTACAAGACAAGAGAACTTCTTGTTACTGCTTACGCCTGTTTGGAGCTGGTTGGTCAAAAATGATGGTCTAAAAAACCAAAATCTCTAAGGCTTATATGATCTCATTTGATGTGGTGTCATGAAGAAGTCGCAAAGAATGACACAGTGATTATATGGTTGGAATGACATCATTAGGTCAAAAATTGACATCATATAGTGCAGTACTGCATTACATTTTGGAGCCAATAACATTAAACACATGATTAAGATTAAGATTAACCAATTACCCATCATCATGGTGGTATACATAACATTATGATGAAATCATTATGAAATGACATTGTTACAACATAAAAAATAAGCATCGTTAGCATTGTCAAATATACGGCACATACAGCGTCTGTTTCGCACAAATGATGCTTCACATTTTTGCCTAGTTTTTCTAAAGGCCTACCTGCAGGAGGACTGGGTTGGCTTTCAGCTTCTGTCTTATGCTCTCCATGGAAAAACTCAGGCTGAGAGAAGAAAATTACAGTTTTCGGTTAAACTTTCAAAAACAAGTAGTATGTGGCTGATGTGCTGAGTCACTCACTTGGCGGCAGGTTTATCCATCTTATTCAGGAAACAAACACAGGGAATGTGGTGCTTCTCTGCTTGTCTCCACACAGTCAGAGTCTGAGCCTGTTTGCGTTTTCAGGGACACAGAAGAAACAGTCTTCAGCGTGCAGCTGATTTTAAGTTTGTTTGTTTTTAAAAGAAAAGGGAAGATGTTTGACAAGAGGCTAACCTCAACACCGGCAGAAGCATCGAATACTGCAACGGCCCCATCAAGAACACGAAGCGCCCGCTCCACCTCAAGAGTGAAGTCAACATGTCCTGAAATCAAAATGTCTTGTTTGAGTGGCTCATTCACACTGGGATATTTTTAATTTTTAAAGGAAGCTTTCATATAATGTCTACCTGGGGTGTCTATAAGGTTTATTCTATGACTTCTCCAATCAAACGTGACTGCTGCCGACTGTATGGTGATGCCACGCTCCCTCTCTTGAGCCATAAAATCTGTGACTGTGTCGCCATCGTCTACGTCTAAAAGCAACGGGAACAGAAATGAACAGAGAGACAGAAGGAAACAGGCAGGCCATTGGTTATGAAGAATTATCAATGTTAAACTCTGATTCTCCTGCGAACCTCCCAGGGCCCGTGTGTAGCCAGAATAATAAAGCATCCTCTCTGTGGTTGTCGTCTTTCCTGCGTCGATGTGGGCCATGATGCCAATGTTTCGGATCCTGCAAATACGGCACACAGGTTGACATGGAGCGAAATCTAAAGAGCATTTCAAACAACTGAATGCAGGTACTTACTTGGATACATCGGGGTTGACCACAGCCCGCAGTGATTTGACGTCATCTATGAACACGAAGTACAATGATGATCATCTGACTGAATCAGAGATGCTGTGTATGTGTTTCTACTACTGACTATGTTTTCTATTATGTTAAAAGTATAATCATTAAGGCAAAGGTTTAATGATTGATCGAAAAATAATGACTAATGCATGAGCTCTTGTGTTGGTCAAAACAACAACCTAAAGAGGATACATTCAGTTTCAAACTGCAGATTTGCATTTTGAAGCATCTCTGGAGCTTTCACTCATATCATAAGATTGCATGAACAAATTGACACAATTATCATAGACACAAATATCTCAAAAGATGCATCCTCAACTTGACAATGCCCTTGTCTCCCTCCCAGCACATCTGCCACCATGAAGCCTCTCTGCACAATAACCTCACTTTCGAACACCATGTTTATCCTTAAACCAGGACTACCTTTTTCATACATAGTCCGGACTATGTCATCACTCAAATTCTCTGCTGCTGAAACCCTGATTCATGCCTTCATCACATCCAGAATCGACTGTTGCACTAGAATTCTTTGTGGTGCATTTTCCAAAGTCCTCAATAAACTTCCGTCCATACACAACTCTGTTGCTCACCCACACCCACTCCTGTGACCATATCCCCCCAGTCCTTAAGAATCTCCACTGACTCCAGGTCCCTCAGTGTATCCCTTTCAGAATCCTCCTCCTCAGCCTCAAAGCCCTGCACAACCAGGCTCTTTCCTGCCTCACAAACATGCTCCACTAACACACTCCCTCACGTAGCCTCCGCTCCTGTGACGCCAAGTTGTCTTCATACCACACAGGACCAAGCATCGGACCTTGGGCAAGAGAGCTTTCCCAAAAACCTGTCGTATTGAACTATTATCATGAATTTACCTGATGTTCTCTTAGTCAGCGATTATCAACCTCCTGTAAATGCTCTGTTAACAATGGAAAAATTAACATCTACGTTTCCATGGCTACGGGTCAAACCCATGTGCTGATGAACATCATGTGATATGACCAAAAACCTCAGCAACTAAATGAAACCTAGAGGCGCTGAAATTATTCGGTCAACAAAATAAAAAGATTTACAGGAACAGAAATGTTATCTTGACAAATGAATGCAATAACTGTTTACCAGAAATTGGAATCAACTAGTTTCCTGCAGCTTAAACAACCAATTGACCAGCTAATTAAAACACCGTCAGTGGATCTGATGATAAAGACCACATACCTGGAAGGAAGCTGTAGTGTCTCCTCACTTGACGACTCACCCTGCATCTCATAAAACATCTCCCCTGTGAAAGACAGCGAGCCTGTTATGAAGACAACGTGATTTTGATGCAACGGGACACTGACAGCACATGTTATGGTCAGATCCTCGTCTCACCAACATCATCCTGCTGAATGTGCGAAACGTCCTATCACACATATTTAACATCTGCGTCTGTTCCAAGCTTCTTCCTCGGGATGAAACAAAGCCTCGGGGGAGCCATGGTGGAGGAGCATTAGCAAATCATATAACGGAGAAATGTTGTGTGGGTGTAACACGGTGAACATTAAACAGCAGGAGGCAGGAAGAGTGGGTGGTTATATCCAGCAGAACCGTCCTGGATATATTCAAGACCGAACGTATTTAAAAAGACATGAATATGTCCTTCAAAACAGAGACATCTTTAAATCTGTCAAGAAAGTCACGCTTTCATAAGGTCCAGCTCCAAAATATATCCGTAGGAACTGAGTTGTGGGTGTATAGAGTTCCGGGTACGAAAACAAAAGCGGGTTTCGTCCTTATTGGCAACTTCTGAATTATTTTATATCAATATGTTAAAATAACACTAATCATTGACTTAATATATATATTTTAATTGATTAAAATAGAATTCCCTCTTACAGTAGACTTGTGTCAGGATCAGCCGTCCCTGTTAAATCTGCGGACAGGGCGCTGCGTCAGAGTGACGTACTTCCTTTAAGTTTGGGCTCCGGGGAAAACAACACCTAAAGAACCCGAGCCAAAGAAAGAAAACACCGAACAACCTGCGTCCGTGTCGACTGCGACCACCCGCGACCCCTCCACTGTAACACTCGACCCCTCCGCGACACAATGGTAGGAGAGCAGCCGCGTAATGCTCCATTCTTTGACCTTTATCGCGCGGTTAGCATGCTGTGTTAGCATTAGCTTCGGCTGACATGTGGCAGGGGGGGGCGCTTCGTGCCGAGGAACGTGTTTCTGTGTATTTCATGTTTATGAGGGAGAGATTTGTCGCCACGGACAGATGCGGTTGTGATAACCCGGCGTGTGAGCACCAAAGCTCGGGTTTGGTCAAAGTTTCCACAAGTGTTCTCGGTAGAACAGCTGATTTGTTGTGGAACGTGTTGTTGGTAAACGTGCATCACATCAATACACCAGTAAAACGAGGAACTGGTTGATTTTGGCTGCAGTTGAACATTGTTTTCTTTATTGATGTATTATGTGCAACCATCTCACTCACTTTGCTGTGACTGTTACAATCAATCCAATGTCACACAAGCTGCTGCTGATTATTATTATTATCAGTATCATTGATCAAATTACCATTCAGCTCCAGACAACGTCACTGTCTTTACAGGCAAAACGAATGAGCCATCATTTAAACAAATTAGATATCTTACTGCTTCCTAAGTTACACCAGAACATATTGTTCCAATATATTTTTTTCACTTATTTTTTTATGTTTGTTCATATTTGCTAATGTCTTATTTTCCTTTTTTACTGCTGTCTGATTTGTGTGAATACATAGACAGGATTGCTACTTCATTTTGTTGAGTAGAGTCATTCTGAATTTCAGTGAGAGGGATTGCACCAGTGAAGATCTTGTTTAATTTTTGAGAAACTGTGGAAGCCATGACTCATATGAAAGATCAGTTAAATTCTTTCTCCAGGTTAAATATGTTACATCTGCCAACACAACTTGACTCATGTTCATGAGCCAGCACCATTACACAGCTGATTAGAGCTTTTTAAATATGTAGTGATTTGTATTTGGAACTGGAAACTAGATTTTTTTTAAATTTATTATAATTCATTTCGAGATTGAATTAAATTGTATGTTTGTATTGTCTTTTATAGCCACAGAACGAGCACATCGAGTTGCACCGCAAGCGGCATGGCTACCGCCTGGACCACCATGAAAAGAAGAGGAAGAAGGAGAGCCGTGAGGCGCACGAGCGGTCGCACAAAGCCAGAAAGTTGATTGGATTGAAGGCCAAACTGTACCACAAACAGAGACACTCAGAGAAGATCCAGATGAAGAAGACGTGAGTACAGGGGAGACGCTGGGTTTGTCTTTAACAGAGCTGGCTTCTCTTGTTGGTTTTAGAGAATCAGCTCATTAGAACTCAACAGTTGAACAATAACGATTTGTGTCTTTGGCAGCATCAAAATGCATGAACAGAGGAGGACTAAACAAAAGAACGATGATAAGACGCCAGAGGGAGCAGTGCCAGCCTACCTTTTGGACAGAGAGGGACAGTCCCGCGCTAAGGTTCTGTCCAACATGATCAAACAGAAGAGGAAAGAGAAGGCTGTAAGTGTCCACTATTGTCAGTCTCCCCACTTGTTTTGGTGGTTTTCTGGTAGAAATCCACAGTGAATATTTTCTGCTTTTGTTGCAAAACATAATCATCTAGTTTTGTGTAATGTTTTGTTCAGGGCAAATGGGAGGTGCCTCTGCCAAAAGTACGCGCCCAGGGCGAGACAGAAGTGCTGAAAGTCATCAAAACTGGAAAGAGACAAAAGAAAGCCTGGAAGAGAATGGTCACAAAAGTTTGCTTTGTCGGCGATGGCTTCACTCGCAAACCTCCAAAATACGAGCGTTTCATCAGACCCATGGTAAGATATTTATCATAGCTCGAGTTCAAATGTTTTCTTTTGAATTCTTAATTGCCATTCATTATCAATGTTAAAGTTCAGATGTGCATTTCTGTTTCAACTGAGGTGTCTAAATGATTTCTTTGTCCACATCAGGGTTTGCGTTTTAAGAAGGCTCATGTCACACATCCGGAGCTGAAGGCCACGTTCTGTCTCCCCATCCTCGGAGTGAAGAAGAACCCCTCCTCACCCCTCTACACCTCCCTGGGAGTTATCACAAAAGGAACAGTCATAGAGGTCAATGTCAGTGAGCTGGGGCTGGTTACACAAGGTGGAAAAGTTATCTGGGGTAAGTGCTCAAGTCAATGTGAATCCATAAACCTGTGAGTAACACTGCAGTAATCTGTTTATTCCCACATTTGGGAATAACTGGAACCTCATAAACAATAAATCCAGACTAATAAAACAGCCTGTTTAAGTCAGCAGCATGTAGTGCTGTGCAAAAATAATGAGGAACATGTGAAATAATTCTATGAAGTGAAAATACTTTCTAAAATGGTTTGAGTTAATTCATTATTTAAAAAAAAGCCTTGACTACTTCTGTGAACTTGGGTCTCACTGAAACCAGTCTCACTGTCTCCTCATGTGATCCCAGACTGACTCCATGATGTGGAGTTCAGGGCTCTGTGGGGGCCACACCGTCTGTTGCTAGACTCATTGTTCTTCTAGTTGCTTCAATAGTTGTCTTTGACTCTTCCTGTATGTTTGGACTGCAGAGTAACTGATATTGATATCTGCATGATGCATAGGGATCTAAACAGCTACAATGTGTAGAACTATTGTACAATACTGTATATCCTGGTAATGTTTACGTCCTTGGCTGGATTTCTGCAGGGTTATGTGAAGATGGACGTGAGAGCCGCTTCCAGGATAATTGATTCTTTAAAATGTGATACTTAATGTTTAATGTGACACTTTTGTAAATAAATGTCCTCTCTTCCCAGGTAAATATGCGCAGGTGACGAATAACCCAGAAAACGACGGCTGCATTAATGCAGTTTTGCTGGTATAAGACTCTCTAACCAGACTGTGCCTGGTGACTCACATTTACACAAAGAACACAAAGACGCAACAAGTCAGGAGCTTCACATGAACGGACCATCAGGAAGATCGTGGATGCAAATCAGTTTTTGGACGCTCAGAGGAAAAGAAAAGGAGTTAATATCTGTGTTGCATTTGATATAAATAAAGTTAATGACGACAGATGATTTGTTTCTTTTTGCCTTTTTCGCCGTCTTTGCTCTTTGTTAATATTTAATGCAATAATATAACCATTGATTCATTTTTTTATCACTGAAAACACTAAAACAGACCCTGCACTTCACAGTACAGTTGACATTCACCCATTAACACAGCGCCTCTGTATCTAGTGCTTTGTCTGTCAGTCTGTCATTTAGCTCATGGTGCAGCTGTCAGGAGAAATCATAGATAGCATGTGGACTGACTTCATTCTAACTTCTGAGCCACAGACTCATGACAACCAGGGCTTACTGTGAAAAACACAGGCTGATTAACAAAGTGAACTGGGATTCAGCTGTAATTAATGCAATCAGAAGAAAATAATTCTTCACAGCAACAGAGCAAAGCCTTATTTTCAACAAAGCTGAAAAGTGAAATATCAGAACGAGGGTAAAGCTGCCACAAACAAACTCTCAACCCTGCAGATTATTGTGTTCCAGTTGAGGTAAGAGGGTCCTTATATTTAAAACTGCCTAATGTCCCAAGTAACATGTGAGCAGACGTACGGTACGTTACACTTGGCAGTAGGTAAACAGGGTTTTGATGGACCGACTCACCAGACGTTACTGAGACATGACAGGTATATTTGAAATGTTGCTGCAGTTAACATGAAGTTCATTGAACATTTTGTGTTTAATCACATTCTTCCCCTCTGCATTTATGTGATTCATGAGAGGCTGAAAACCTCACAGGCTGCTGCTTCCTCCTCTTCCTTTGTCAGTGTTTGCGAGGGACCTAATTGTTTCACAGGGGAAAAGCGCAGGAAGCAGCACGGACATGTGGACAGCACCACATATCCGCCTGTAGATCATTTATATGACAATCCAGACTACAGCTTTACCAGAGCACTAACCTGATTTGTGACTAAACATGGGAACATTGCATTAAAACACATGCATTAAAATGACCTCACTGCTTCACACTCATGGTTTTATTGTATCAAGACCTTCTTTTACTGCAAACATGCTCTTTGCACTCTGTACTTCAGCTCCATGTAAAGTATGAAGGTGAAATACTGCAACCCCACCCTCCACTGCCATAAGACCACTGCGCCCTCTAGCTGCATCCACCACACGATACCACAACTCCTGCTTTCTCTGAAGTTGCACTTTGCACTGTGGATTTCAGAGAGCTGTTCGATTATTAGATAACTCCCACGTGAGTTTGCAGTTCCGTCTGCCGGAGGACAACTCAATGATTTGATTGTGTAAAATAAAAAGCTTTGCTGCTTTATAGGAGACGCACAGTTACTGTCAGAGTGGTGGGCTGGTTATTTAACATCAGTCTATGGCAGTTTCACTTCCCTCAGAACCACAGGATGTACACAGTGCATCACTTAAAACCAAGTGAGCATAGACAAAGATTTTCTTCAGAGTCTGTCAGCATGAACTTTGTAGATTTGACAAATGATAGTTGATACAGTATGTCTCACATTTTAAGTTTTAGGCTGGATGCACTAGGTTCTACAGGACTGGTGATAGACGTAAATGGTGTTTGAGACATTAGTCATGATTTTACTACATGCATTCCTAATGATTTACAGATACAGATCCCCTTGTCTCTGGTGTTGGTACCACCCAGCTGCCACCTGTCTGAAATTCAGGGAAAAGGCCTCATGTCAAACACATGTATGTTAATCAATGGATCTTACAACAGCCTGCATGGTGTAAATCAGGGACTTAGACAAAGGCCACGGTGAGAATAACTAAATATCTTAACAAGGTTGGTGGTAGGACATAGCAGATTTAATAAATGAACCCACTTAAATGAGTAAACATCCCTCAGGACTGTGTCATGGTTGAATGAGGAGGAACTGGGTGTGAAAATGTAAATGTAGAAAACAGATGGAGGGTTCTGTTTGCATCCTCTGAAATTTGTGAGCCACTTTCTACGACTGACCCATTAAAGACGAAGGCTCTTGTTTAATCGTCAGCCTCTTGTCCAGCAGTCTCAATGTGCGAATCAGAAACAGTGACACAAATTGAGTTTCATTTTTTATTTGCAATTTGTTTTTCAGGTGGTGTCAAACTAAAAAGACGCATGCAGACGTCGGCTTTGCATCCACGCCTACAGACTTCCTGCAGTCATATTTTTTTTACTGGTGTTTCTTATGGTGTCATTGCAGATTTTGAAAAACCAACAGAAGAAAAAGTTTCACATTGTTTAGGCAGGGCTGTGTCTGAAAACACTTCTTCCTCTATGAAAAGAAACTGCAATACAGAAAGGTTTTGTGATTTGATAAAAAAAAAAAAAAATTTAGATTTTCCTCATTTTCTCACCACAATGATTCTCCTCATCCTCCCGACACGGCGCTTCGCCTCTTGAGATAACTAAGGAGAAGATTGAAGTCAGTACACAGAGTGTTATACTATCCTGAGTTCATGCACTGCTCCAGACCTGGTGTAGAAAGATTCTCTGGATCCTCATCCCTAGTAGATTTACACCTAGATATTTCAAGATTTAACTATGTACACAACAATTGCAGTTTGCTGCATCACATAGTTTTTCAAATGAACAGTGAGAGTGTCAGTCCAACGGGTAATGAACCTGTGGACGTTTATAAAAGGACAGCAGATACTACGAAAATCATGACAGTAAGAATTAAGGCAAGTGTTATCCAGTAAACCATGTATATAGATTACACATTAAAAATGAATGCCAAAAGTGGCGTGACATAGTTTCAGGACACCTTTAAGACACTCAGCAAAACGATGCCCTCTTTAAAACCCACTGGTGTGTGACATAAAAAAACAATCAACCCCCTTCACCAGTTACAAAGGATGGCTGTCTCATCTTATTGTCTTCTTCATTCAGCTGGCACTGTGTGCTTTCATTAAACCCCTTCATTCAGTGTAAGCGAGATGTAGCATTGAAGTGCTGCTGATACGGGCTCACACAGAAACCTCTGAAGAAGACCTCTCCAGATTTCTTGACTTGACTCCCTCTCTTTAGTCATTTGGCAGAGAGCGGTTTTCATTTAAAAAGTGCAGTGTTTGAACGCAGCGTCCATCTCACGGTGACGTTACAAGTAGTAGTCCAGCTTGCTTTCTATCGTCTTGCAGCCTGTCACAGCGAAGACCCTTTCAGATTTAGGGAAATAGAGTAAATCTTTGGCCACCTTGTCTGCCAAACTCTGGTCCGGCTGCATTCCTCTGGCTCTCATCTCGGCCATAGTGCACTGGACGACGTGCTGGTACTCCAGAGGCAGCAAGGGGACGAAGAAGTCCACCAGGTTCTTGTCAATCAAACTTGTACGGTAAAAGCCACCTAGAGGGAGATTGATGTTTTTTTAATCAAGTCTAGACTTTGAAAAAATATAATGAAAGCACATTTCATGTCATTTCTACTCACTTTGGTGGTTGTTGAACACTGATAAGGAGAGCAAGGATTCCAGGTCTTTCAGCTCGATCTCCTCTCGGTTTTGTCCTGCTTTCCAGAAATCTAAAGCTGTTTGGTCGATTTTGTCGGACCCGGCGTTGCTGTGAGGAAGATCAAAAATGAGCAGAAAGTATTTTTTTTTTTTAGCAGGTAGGAAATTTGTATGAAGAAAACACAATTAAGAGTGTGACACAGACCAAAGAACTGTATTTAACAAACGATGGTGCAGATTGATCCACAACTTAACTCTTTCACCACGTATGCAAGAATCACGTCAATCATTACAGAGTCTCTACAGATGAGAACCACAAAAGGACCGTCAGTCTCAGATGCTACCAGGCTTTTGCCACATGAGCAAAAAACAACAGGAAGCTGGAAGGAGATAATGGCTGTCACTGCACCTTACACCTTAAGTATCTCTCACGATCGAGAAAAGGTACGAATAAGGATATTTATCTTTATCTTTATATGAAATGACCTCTTTCTGGAAATGAGAGTTTGGTCATATTGCCCAGTCCTACACACAACTGTCACTTCTCAAGTGAATTACTAGGTACAACTCTATGAACACCTTCGAGGAGAGACTGGAAATGTTGACGCCGTCTTCAAGGGGGGGTCTTCTACCTACTAATTCCACAAGCATCTGTGGAACACATATCTCTAGAACTGCTCATGTATCAGCTTCACACTGGGCATGAGTATTGTACGTGGGTCCAACAACTGGGTCCAACCACAAATCATTTTAATGATGTGATTATTTGGGATTTTACCATACCAGCCCGACACAGACGTTCAAGGGTACTGATCTCCGTCATGGCTGCAACATTTGTTGAATCACTTCCTCTTTCGCAAGTTGTCATCAAAGCAAAACCACAACTTTCATTCTGTTGCTAAAACACCTTATATCAAGCTGACTTACAGAGCTTTTGTTTTAAAAAGCTGTGAACGTGGGTTTGAAGATTGCGTTTGTCCTCTGACATAGCTGACAAGTAATGTATGAAAAAGAACACCAGTCATTGCAACTTGTATATAAACCATACACATGAACAGCAATAAAGTAAATTCAGTTTCATTTTCTGAAAAACATTGACTAGAAAATCTTCATTTAAGATGAACACAAATGTCTAAATTCACTCTGCATCCTAGACTGTTTCTAAAAAGCTCTGCACACAACGTCCAGCACACAAACAACAAAAAGTGAGTTTATTGTAGAAGTGTTTGAGGAGAACTCACTAATGACGGGAAATTATTCTGAAGTAGCTCCAGAGCTTTAGCACAGGACAAGAAAACTGCTAACCAGGCAGTTTTAGAATGGTCACTGCACTAGTTTGGGGAAAAAAATAATTTTAGCCTCTCACCTGAGGAAGATGAAGATAGCTTTCCGATATGAAACTCCATCCAGCTTGTCGTAGTAGTCCAGGTACGGCTTAATGCCGTCAATCAAGCCAGGATGCATCTTGTCCATCTCGTCAAAGACGAACATGGAGCGTTCACAGTTGGAGACATTCCCTTTGATCCACTGCTGTAACTGGGACTGAGGAGAAACAGCAGTAAGTTTCAGTTAACATAGAGAGGCTGAAAAAAAATCAATGTCGCTGTGTTTCAACTGACAGTGAACGGTTTCAGCTTCTTTGTACACATACCTTGTAGTGAAGATATTGACTTGAATGTGGGAAGTGATACGTGGATGCGAATAAATGAAAAAAGCTGCTCTTCGTTCCCTCCTTGTAAATGTTATTAGCAATCAGCTTGCTGATAAAGTTCTTCCCTGTGCCGGTCCACCCGTGCAGAGAAAGCACCAGGGGCTTCTTCGGGTTGTCGTTGTTCATGAATCCATTCACGGCTTTCAGGATGATGCGTGACGCGATGTGCTGTCCAAACAGTTTTCTGTTCAGGTCAGCCTCAAGAGCTAGAGGGTACACAGCAGAGGGTCAACAGGGTGAGTGTCTGCAAACACCTTTCTCAGATTATTTAGTCTTCATCCTGTTAGTTATGAGCTTACAGCTTCAACAATGGAAACACTCATATATAAGAACTCAGTCTTGTGTATTGAAGGCCCTGTTCACACCTCAAAATCCATTCTGAGAGATCCAATCACAAGTGGACAGCATTAAGTTCATCTGTTAACACCTGGTATTAAAATGTCTCCAGATCTCAGTGCTCGATATGCAAATATGCAAGTTTTAGCAATTTATAGATGTGTTGTCCATGTTTGTGTGTCAGGACGAGCGAGAGATGGAGAAAGAGGAGCCAGGAGGGGCTGAGTGGGTCAATACGTGCAGCTTTGCAATGAAATAAGATTTTACCCATTTGCCGTTAGTCTAAATGTTGTAATGAGAGCCAGTTGGCCACATGTAATTCAGTGGATGTGAGACATTGAGAAGTGTTCATTGAAACTGTAGTGAGTCAGATGATGTCAGCTGAGTAGATTTATGTTGCTCCCTTGGCCATACGCATCTCAGACCCCCCCCTAGATGTGGTCTGAGTGATCAGATCACAAATGTGTCCTCAATGTGTTGTGGGTCTGTTGATATTTGAGGTTAGAGCTGTCCGCTTGTGATTCCGATCATTCAAAAGAGATGTTATAACCAGGTCTAAACGGGGTCTAAGTGCCTCGGAGGTGACGGACAAGATAAATATGAACCACAAGACTCATATACAAAAAATGAAACACCATGTAACTTTTACTGCAACAGCGTCCTCTGGAGCCACACATGACGATTAATTCCCTTGGGCTCTGTGTCCATCTGCATGAAAATTGGACATAAAAGCTGTTTTTTTAAAGACTTCTAAGTCCTTTTTTAACTGATCTACAGTTCAGCATTACACTTTTAGTTTCTGGATCTGATTCTGACAATTGAGTTGGCCACTATCATTCAGTTTCACATGTCTCACAGGAGATCGTGCCCACTCACCAGTTACATAAAGCAAGAACAGGCAGGATGAGGAACATGAATAAAAGTTGCATCATTCTCTCCATTCCTAGTCGGTTTATCATCAAACTCATTTCGAAAAGAGTGTTTGCAGTCTTTCTTTAGGCAAGAATATGATTAAATTATAACAAAGTATGGGTCACATTTCATGATCTTTGCCAAAGCACCAGCTGAAGACCTGACTAAAGGCAGAGACAGACTCAAAATACCCAATATGATGATTGTGTTTGGTTTCATTTGTCCTTTGAACCCATAAACTGTGCAGGGCAGTGTGTGGTGTTAAAGACTTTCTCCCACACTGTTTTTCTACATCGATGTAAACCTGCCAGATTTAAAGCAGAGTTTAAAAAGTCAACATGATGAAGCACAGAGTCTGGAGGTCTTTCTTTCCCAGTGTGGTTTCGGGTTTGAACCAAACTCAACCCATGGCACTTTCGCAATCATTTAAATTGTACATTGATTTACTGATCCAACAGCGTTTGTCCCCTTTGCCACGTGTAACGCAGCTGATCGCGTTTACCTGTCGCATTGAAGGCTATCCATTTGGAGTCGCAACTTTCATGGAAATAATTGTAGATCTTCCGGCCCAGGGTCGCACCGATACCGACCACCACTGTTGTTGTGACCGGATCGAAGGCGTTGGCGAGCGGGCAGGTTGTCGACAAAACGTGCAGCAACAAACATATGCGTGCAACTTTCATCGTCTCGACATCTAAATCCCGCACATCGGTCGCTTTATGTGTTCAAAACCGACATTAAACCCACGGTTAACCCGCGCTGGAGCAACGAGCGTCTTTACAACGCGGAACTTCCTCGTACGTCATCAACAAGTGACGAAAACAACGGGGTCCGTTCAACGCATAACCCGGACATGTTTGAAAACGATGCAAAATAAACACATTCACAAGACAACAGGTGGTTTTGTGATACACGTTACACCACTGCAGCGCCTGGGAAGCTAACTGACAATGTAGCACATAAACCCGCTTGGCTAACAGACCAAACGCTAGCTTAGATCAGTTGAAGGGAGTCAAAACAGCACAGACGAGTCCAATGTGGCTGCTGTTGGTGTGTTAGCCGGATGTCCCCCGTTACCTGTCCTGTTGAAAACAATCCACTCGGGGTGGCAGCACTCGTAGAAATAGTTGAAAATGTTCCTGTAGCTGGCGATGAACGCCGTCAGGGTCGCAGCCACGCCGACCGCGATCGTGGTGCTGACGGGCTCTAGGGCCTCGGTCCCGGCCCCGGAGCAGAGGAGCAGCCACAGCAGCAGGACCTGACTCCTCTTCGGTGTCATTTCACACAAACGCCTCCTGTTTATCCACAGAAGCGTGGGGTTGACCCTGTTAATGGACGGCCAGCGGGCGAGACACGTCGCAAAGACAGAGCTGGGGGAACCCTGCAGTGAGTGGAGGGGCTGCCGGTTGTCATGAACACGCGCGGTGTTGTGACGTCACGGTCCGAAGTTCGTCTCCTATTGGTGCAGCTTCTGTTTTTAGAGTTTTCAGTTCACCGTTAAAAACAATCATCAGAGAAGAGTGAGTACTGTGCTAACCATAGGTGCTAACATGTTTAAAAGTAGGAGAAGCGACACAGGAAGAGGTTGTTTACATATGGAGGACATCAGGGTTCAAAGCAGGCCCGGATCTAGGCTGCCCAGAGTGGGGGGGCCATTACACATTTGGGATGGACACCTTTTCAGATAGATAGATAGATAGATACTTTATTGATCCCGAAGGAAATTCAAGCCTCGTGTGGCAGTAACATACATTGAACATACATCAGACTTGATTTATGCATTAGAGTTAACTTATAACACAGTAACCATTCGTAGAAATGGGCCTGAGATTAATGTAAATTTCAATGTGTACAGAGGAATTAAAGAAATTGAATTAAATTAAACAATTGAAGCAAAATTAAACTTTTGCAGAGAAATTAAACATTTGCATAGGATTTCAATATATACAGAGGAATTAAAAATGTGCAGGAATATTAAATATTTGCAGAAAATGTGCATAGAAAATAAATATAGAACTGTGTTAAGTTAACCCGTG